ATAAAGCAGGCAGGAATGGCAAAGTGCAGCATAGTGCCAGCATGCTCATTAGGTCTTGACAAATTGCAAACTATAATAATACTCACTACATGTACTTGAGCGAATGGAAATAATAGTACTGATACGCAAATTGTCCTGCCACTAATTTTAGTGCAGTTCTGAGTCCACTTTTCGAACCTGGATTTTCTCTGGCGGATATTTCTGCAGTGACCAGCCACTCAGCGTATCTCTGTGATATGGTTGTCCAATAGCCTGAGACTCACAGCGATACAGCCATCCAGTCATACATCAGCCATGTATGTAAACAGCGGCTATGCCTTTCTGCGGTTGAACAGTGATCGTACCCGACCGTCGGGCGTGACCGGGCTTCAGAACCAGAGCGATGTGGTGGGGTCTGCTTCCCGAGTGTCCTGAACGTGTGCATACACACACACACACACACACACACACACACACACACACACACACACACACACACACATACACATACACACACACACACACACACACACACACACACACACACACACACACACACAACGCCAGACAGATGCATGTACAATGAGGCAATGACAAAGTCCGAGAAAGATTGACTTACTTTCACATACATAATACATATACTTCAGTAATACAGTAAGTCATGAACGCGTACTCTACTGCTGTGCGCAATGCTGGATAGGTGGCCACATAAACCAACCGCATTCTACATGATAAAATGGTCATCATGTACCGTGCTGTTCCGAATGAAATCCGATTGTATGAGTAAATACCATGCAAGTGAATACCACGCCAGGCGCTGTGTAGCTCTAGCCTCTTAGAGTCTAGACGTGCGAACACTGGGATGTCCACTGGTGCAGGGACGGTGCAAAGTTGACTGACTTGATCAGATGTCATTCGGAACAGCACGGTACACGATGAGAGAACTACAGTCAACATCGCAAATAACGACTGCGGATATAACGACAATTCGCGAAAAAACAACAGAATGTCCATGCCCAGAGCAAAGTCACATTCAACTGTAATACATATAATGAGACTTCGGGTATAAGGACACTTTTCCGATGCCTGGCCGAGTGTCGTTACAAGCAAAGTTGACTGAACCCCACGGGCAGGGTACATAGCGAAATCAATACCAACAGTACATACCATTAGCAGGTCCTGGTCAGTAAAGTGGAGCAGGCTCAACTCGTCTGTAATGATGTAGGTAGGTGAATATTAGCAAAGGTGTTTGCTCCCCAGACCGGAACTCACGCTTTTCCGCCGACTGGACTTGACACTTGAGCGCGAGCTCCGGTGTGAGGAGCAAATGCTCTTCATGTGTAATCATTCCCGAAGTCGCTACCACTACCTCGTATTGATTTGAATATTACCTTTGGGTATTCTCAGCTGTAGAGTAATGCGTCCATTGCGTTGTTTGTGTGGCAGCCGCTCAGGGTTTGCAGTCTCGGCAGCATTGTTTGTGTGGCTGCCATCCATGGGTTTCCCGCCGGCATCATCAGGTGGATTCCGATCATCACTTGATGATTCTCTGCTGTCACCATCAGCACTGCTTTGATGAAGACCTTTATCTTGCTTAGCTGGGCTGCTAACTATCCTTTCTCCTTTCTTGTTCGCTTCATCTGAATGCGATTCAGCTTTCTTTAGGGCCGGTTTGTTTGTTCCTCCAGCTGGGCGAGTACTGCTTTTGTCTTCGTCGGACCGAGGTGTCCTGTTGTCTACATCAGCTTGAGGCTTGGCTTTGTCGGCATCTTGGTTAGGAATGGGTTTGTCTGCATCTTGGTTAGGCATGGGTTTGTCTACATCAGGTTGAGGCTTGGCTTTGTCGGCATCTTGGTAAGGAATGGGTTTGTCTGCATCTTGGGTAGGCATGGGTTTGTCTACATCAGGTTGAGGCTTGGCTTTGTCTGCATCTTGTTTAAGCAGGGGATTGTCTGCATCTTGGTGAGGCAGAGGTTTGTCTCCATCTTGGTTAGCCATGGGTTTGTCTGCATCTTGGTTAGGAATGGGTTTGTCGACATCAGGGTACTGACTGATTTTGCTTCCATCTGCTGGAGGTTTCTCTTCGCCTCCACCTTGGTACGGTGGTTTGGGTTTCTTTACCTTCAGTGGGGGAGGTGTCATTTCGTCCCCATCTGGATGAGGCTTGGTTTTGTCTCCATTTGACTTTTGTTTGGCCTTGCCTCCGTCTGGCTGAGGTGCAGATGTGTCTGGCTGAGGTCCAGATGTGTCTGGCTGAGGTGCAGATGTGTCTATATCTGGCTGAGGTTTACTTTTATCGCCATCTGGTTGAGGTTTACTTTTATCGCCATCTGGCTGAGGTTTAGATTTGCTTCCATCCGGGTTTTGTCTGGTGTTGTCTTGATCTGGCTGACGTTTCGATGTGTCTTCATGTGGCTGAGGTTTTGATGTGTCCATATCTGAATGAGATCTTGATGTGTCTCCATCTGGCCGAGGTGTGCTTTTGTCGCCATCTGAGTAAGGCTTGGATTTGTCACTATCCGAGTGAGATTTAGATGTGTCTCCATCTGGCTGGGGTTCAGATGTGGCTGTATCAGACTGAGGTTTAGATGTGTCTCCATCTGGCTGAGGTTTGGTTCTGTCTCCATCTCGGTTTTGTTTGGTGTTGTCTCCATCTCGGTGTTGTTTGGTGTTGTCTCCATGTGGTTGTGGTTTTGATGGGTCTTCATGTGGCTGGGGCTTTGATGTGTCAGTATCTGGCTGAGGTTCGGTGTTGTCTCGATCTGGCTGACGTTTGCTTTTGTCTCGATCTGGCTGAGTTGTAGGTGTGTATGGATCTGGCTGACGTTTGCTTTTGTCTTGATCTGGCTGAGTTGAAGGTGTGTATGGATCTGGCTGACGTTTGCTTTTGTCTTGATCTGGCTGAGTGGAAGGTGTGTATGGATCTGGCTGACGTTTGCTTTTGTCTTGATCTGGCTGAGTTGAAGGTGTGTATGGATCTGGCTGACGTTTGCTTTTGTCTTGATCTGGCTGAGTTGAAGGTGTGTATGGATCTGGCTGACGTTTGCTTTTGTCTTGATCTGGCTGAGTGGAAGGTGTGTATGGATCTGGCTGACGTTTGCTTTTGTCTTGATCTGGCTGAGTTGAAGGTGTGTATGGATCTGGCTGACGTTTGCTTTTGTCTTGATCTGGCTGAGTTGAAGGTGTGTATGGATCTGGCTGACGTTTGCTTTTGTCTTGATCTGGCTGAGTTGAAGGTGTGTATGGATCTGGCTGACGTTTGCTTTTGTCTTGATCTGGCTGAGTTGAAGGTGTGTATGGATCTGGCTGACGTTTGCTTTTGTCTTGATCTGGCTGAGTTGAAGGTGTGTATGGATCTGGCTGACGATTGCTTTTGTCTTGATCTGGCTGAGTGGAAGGTGTGTATGGATCTGGCTGACGTTTGCTTTTGTCTTGATCTGGCTGAGTTGAAGGTGTGTATGGATCTGGCTGACGTTTGCTTTTGTCTCGATCTGGCTGAGTTGAAGGTGTGTATGGATCTGGCTGACGTTTGCTTTTGTCTCGATCTGGCTGAGTTGAAGGTGTGTATGGATCTGGCTGACGTTTGCTTTTGTCTTGATCTGGCTGAGTTGAAGGTGTGTATGGATCTGGCTGACGTTTGCTTTTGTCTTGATCTGGCTGAGTGGAAGGTGTGTATGGATCTGGCTGACGTTTGCTTTTGTCTTGATCTGGCTGAGTTGAAGGTGTGTATGGATCTGGCTGGCGTTTGCTTTTGTCTTGATCTGGCTGAGTTGAAGGTGTGTATGGATCTGGCTGACGTTTGCTTTTGTCTTGATCTGGCTGAGTTGAAGGTGTGTATGGATCTGGCTGACGTTTGCTTTTGTCTTGATCTGGCTGAGTTGAAGGTGTGTATGGATCTGGCTGACGTTTGCTTTTGTCTTGATCTGGCTGAGTTGAAGGTGTGTATGGATCTGGCTGACGTTTGCTTTTGTCTCGATCTGGCTGAGTTGAAGGTGTGTATGGATCTGGCTGACGTTTGCTTTTGTCTTGATCTGGCTGAGTTGAAGGTGTGTATGGATCTGGCTGACGTTTGCTTTTGTCTTGATCTGGCTGAGTTGAAGGTGTGTATGGATCTGGCTGACGTTTGCTTTTGTCTTGATCTGGCTGAGTTGAAGGTGTGTATGGATCTGGCTGACGTTTGCTTTTGTCTTGATCTGGCTGAGTTGAAGGTGTGTATGGATCTGGCTGACGTTTGCTTTTGTCTTGATCTGGCTGAGTTGAAGGTGTGTATGGATCTGGCTGACGTTTGCTTTTGTCTTGATCTGGCTGAGTTGAAGGTGTGTATGGATCTGGCTGACGTTTGCTTTTGTCTTGATCTGGCTGAGTTGAAGGTGTGTATGGATCTGGCTGACGTTTGCTTTTGTCTTGATCTGGCTGAGTTGAAGGTGTGTATGGATCTGGCTGACGTTTGCTTTTGTCTTGATCTGGCTGAGTGGAAGGTGTGTATGGATCTGGCTGACGTTTGCTTTTGTCTTGATCTGGCTGAGTTGAAGGTGTGTATGGATCTGGCTGACGTTTGCTTTTGTCTTGATCTGGCTGAGTTGAAGGTGTGTATGGATCCGGCTGACGTTTGCTTTTGTCTTGATCTGGCTGAGTTGAAGGTGTGTATGGATCTGGCTGACGTTTGCTTTTGTCTTGATCTGGCTGAGTTGAAGGTGTGTATGGATCTGGCTGACGTTTGCTTTTGTCTTGATCTGGCTGAGTTGAAGGTGTGTATGGATCTGGCTGACGTTTGCTTTTGTCTTGATCTGGCTGAGTGGAAGGTGTGTATGGATCTGGCTGACGTTTGCTTTTGTCTTGATCTGGCTGAGTTGAAGGTGTGTATGGATCTGGCTGACGTTTGCTTTTGTCTCGATCTGGCTGAGTTGAAGGTGTGTATGGATCTGGCTGACGTTTGCTTTTGTCTCGATCTGGCTGAGTTGAAGGTGTGTATGGATCTGGCTGACGTTTGCTTTTGTCTTGATCTGGCTGAGTTGAAGGTGTGTATGGATCTGGCTGACGTTTGCTTTTGTCTTGATCTGGCTGAGTGGAAGGTGTGTATGGATCTGGCTGACGTTTGCTTTTGTCTTGATCTGGCTGAGTTGAAGGTGTGTATGGATCTGGCTGACGTTTGCTTTTGTCTTGATCTGGCTGAGTTGAAGGTGTGTATGGATCTGGCTGACGTTTGCTTTTGTCTTGATCTGGCTGAGTTGAAGGTGTGTATGGATCTGGCTGACGTTTGCTTTTGTCTCCAATTGGCTGAGGTTTCAATGTATCTGGCTGAGGTTTTGATTTGTTTCCATCTGGATGAGGTTTGCTTTCGTCTCCGTCTGGGTTTTGCTCGGTTTTGTCTCCAACTGGCTGAGGTTTTGATGTCTCTCCATCTGGCTGAGGTTTGGTTTTGATTTCATCTGGCTGAGGTGTTGAGGTGGCTCCGTCTTGGTGTTGTTTGGTTTTGTCTCCATCTGGCTGAGGCTTTGATGTGTCTGTATCTGGCTGAGGGTTAGATGAGTCTCCACCTGGCTGAGGGTTGCGTTTGTCTCCATCTGGATGTTGTTTGGTTTTGTCTCCGTCCGGCTGAGGTTTAGATGTGTCTTCATCTCGCTGAGGCCTTTTAGGTTGTCCGTTGTGATGGGAGAGACTGCCTTGGTCGGTGGTTGAAGGCGATCTTGGATCTGTCCCGTCTTCGCCAGTACCTATTGTTGCTGGAGCCACTTCTAGTGGCTTAGTAGTACCTGTTGATGGCGGAGTGACTTCCAATGGCTTGGTAGTAGCTGTCCCAGTAGGTCGAGTGAGATTAGCTGAGGCGATCTGTAAACAGACAGGTCAATCAAATAAAGTTACTTTAGAACGAGTCAGGTCTCGTCACCTAGGCTACCACCAATTGGCGACTTTCCCACCCAGGGCTTATCAGATATAAAGGCCCCCTCGAGAATGATAATTTTACTACTCTTTGATGACGCAATCAGGACATTGGGTTCATTCAAAGCCTGCTGAATAATTACAACGTGTGATGTTTGGGTAATGGGTGTTTCCGTGTGACCGCCGCAGTGCTCTGCACATATTTTGCCATCGTAAATTCGCAGGGAGGGAGAGGGAGAGGGAGAGAGAGAGAGAGAGAGAGAGAGAGAGAGAGAGAGAGAGAGAGAGAGAGAGAGAGAGAGAGAGGGAGGGAGGGAGGGAGGGGGAGGGGGGGAGGAGGGAAGGAGGGAGGGAGTCTAATTAATAAATGTTGCCAATCAAAGACCAACGCTATAGCCGATACGAATCTGTACATGAAGAATTGACGATGTGTGTAGATCTACTATGCAGTCATGTAGAACGTCGTATAATGCCATTTTTGGCCTCGTAATGCTTTATACTGCTCGTAATGCTCCGGGTGGTGTATAATGCTCGATATAATGCTGGCATTATCCGCCGACACCTAGAGGGAGGGAGGGAGGGAGGGAGAAACTCTAATTGTACTCTATAGTCTGTGCTACAGCGACAGGGAGGGACAGAGAAACAGGATGGAGATCGAGAGCATTGCTCCGTATTAACTTACATGCCCTGTAGTTTCTGGGTTGCCATCAGGTGTTCCCCTGTGTCCTTCCGTTCGGTTTGGGCGTGATGGTGGTGGATTCTTCACTGCAATCGTGCCCACTGGACGTTTTTCAGGATGGCGAGAGCCTTCTTTCTGTATGTGAGCTCCACTGCCAGCTTCGTGAGAGCCACTGTGGCCATGCTTGTGTTTGCTCCCTGTGCCGCGATGCAGTTTCCCTGATGGTGGTGATTGTTGAATAGCCTAAACAGCAGTACATGTACACGCATGCCCGCCTAATCTGATCAGCAAAGAGAAGATAATATCCTCTGCATACAATGATGCATATGAATAGCTGGAAGGCAAAACCCGATAAATCTTTTTTCATCATTTTTCGGGATATGGCCAAAAGGATTCATTTCATTCGCGTACAGGGTCGGTCAAGAACCACCTTTCTGCTTCCGTGGAACGCCACCACCCCATGATCAGGCGTCAGATGCGGCTCAGTCCTAAACGGTGGGGAGGATAGATCAGATCCAACAACCAGACTGTCTATAAAGATGCGGTTAAAGAAAGAACTCCGGTTATTGCAAGTAAATGCCATCGGGGGAGGGGGGGGGGCATGTCTAACGTTTGGAGCAGCCACCTTCTCGTAGGATTACTGCCGAAGCCGCAATATCTCAGCTATTGTTATGGAGTTTTTAAAGAAGAAAAAACACAATACACTTCGCTTACATAGAAAGCCCAGAAACGTCTCATACCTTGTGACATGTATGCGATAGCAGTGCTACACCCACTGCCCAAAGTACCAATATGTCTTTGAGCGATGTGAACAGAGAAAGTAACTGGGTGTCTTGAGATACACACGCCACCAGGAATCCGATTAGACCTCCGACACTGCCTGCGGACACGGTCAGCAAGGATCGCTGCCCGAGCGTCGCAGCGCCTCTGTCTGTAGCGTATAGTGCGCTGGTGAGACCTACACATTACACACGGACACACATACACACATACACACACACACACATACACACACGCACATGCAGACACATACACGTACGCACACACACACACACATGAACATACACATGCACATAGTGACACACACACACACATATGCACGCACACATACACACGCACGCACACGCAATAACTCGCGGCTGGCACTTCATGACAAGTTGTCTCATCATGCATAGTCACCAACTGCATAAAAAAAGTATCGTGTTACGGGGAAAAGGGTAAAATTCTGACAGGCATGCCACTTACATAGAGATGAGAGCGCTTCATTAGTCCCGAAAGGAATGAGAGGGAAAAAAGAAGGAACAGATCATCAATATCAGATTCCGTGAGGAAGACTCAGCAGTCTTGCCGATGCAAAAAACACCCCAAGAGACGACATGACACTCAACTCAAGAGGAAAAAAACGGGAAAATGCATTGGCCGGGAATCGAACCCTGGCCCCCCGCGTGGCAGGCGAGGATTCTACCACTGAACCACCAATGCGCGCACACTCTTGGCATCAAAGATGTGACATAACATAGCACCACTGCACAGTGCACTCTCAATAATACAATAATAATGATGCACTCTCGGTGAGTTTAAACACTAGCGACGTCTGTTCTGAGTCTTCGGACGGGTACGGGGATCCCCCAAGACAATCTGAAGACTCAATGATATCCATTACTAGGAGATTCACGCAAACTACTTCTACACTCAGTTGGGTTGTGCGGAGCCTAGAAGTAGTGGTTATAATTATGTGTTTGCGTGTTTTTCCAAGGATTTTCACCCTCTAATGCAGACATTTGCTCATTACTTTGCGGAGGCCAAACACTTTGATGATAGGAGGGTAAGAAACAGTAGCCTAGCCGTCGACCTCATCATCATTGGTTTAGGTCAAACTGCCAGTGCTCCACATGCGCTCTCTGCCCGACCCGATTGACACCAGCAGTTAAATTCTAAGTCGTTGTTGATACCTAGGCCTGGGCGGATAATGCTAGCATTATAAGTAGCATTATAGTGTGCGATTAGCAACGAGCATTATGCTAGCATTATAACACTACATTTCCACAAAAGTGGCATTATACTCAAATTATGAAAGTTTTGGCCACTACAAAAAATGGACCGTTACATGCCTTGCACATAGAACTGCACAACCTCCATAGGATTGTCCAAACTAAGCCATTTTCCATACATACTATTGCGGTTTTGCTGGCGTTATGGAGCAATAGCAGCATAAAATTAGAATTATGATCATGATTTTCTAGCATGCCGTCTACGTAGAATTACGAAACGTGCACAATACTGCCCAAGCAAGCCATTTTCCATGCTTACTACTGGTGAATTGCTGGCATTACATACATGTAGGAACAGCAGCATGTTGGGCAGACCCGAGGTTCAGTTGTCTGATGATTGCCTAGCGGCATGAAACTCAGAGTTACAACCAACCTGAACGTCCTCCGCTGAGTCTGCTATGTACTAAGCTCTGTCTCTGACATTGAGCACTCTCTGTAGCTCGGGGATCAACGGATTTGATTAGGAACAGCAGCATTATAAGTAGCATTATGATACAGTTTTTCTGGCATTGCCATTAGCATTATCCCGCAAAATAACTAACATTATCCGCCCAGGCCTATTGATACCACTTGTAGTACATGACTGTATTGACTGTTACAGTGTATTGGTAAAACGTATTCCTCCGTACAGCTATTTCGGTCATATCAATCAATCTCTTCAGTGAAGGTTGTAAGAATACCGCGGGCTGAATGTTCAGACTTGGGGCTCCAGCACAGTACTGCGAGTCTGCGAGCAGTCACGCGAACAGCCCGCACGGCATTTACTCCCTGTACTCACGCACCATGGTACCACTGTAGTCTCATAATCTTATGCGACATACATGTAGCTATCTTTGTAGGAGTCACACTGCTGGTGTTACTAATTTTTGACATCTCCATGCCATGGTGCTTTAAAAGCTAACAGTGTCGATAAACACAGTACACTATCCAGCCACGCTTGCAGGAGGGATTTGACTCCCGTGGGGAGGTCGATCGCTGCATGATCGTGGGAGGTCCTCTTAACGATCTTACTACTCCTGGTAGTGTTCTTACTACTCTTAGTAGTGTTATTACTACTCTTAGTAGTGTTCTTACTACTCTTAGTAGTGTTATTACTACTCTTAGTAGTGTTCTTATTACTCTTAGTAGTGTTATTACTACTCTTAGTAGTGTTCTTACTACTCTTAGTAGTGTTCTTACTACTCTTAGTAGTGTTCTTACTACTCTTAGTAGTGTTATTACTACTCTTAGTAGTGTTCTTACTACTCTTAGTAGTGTTATTACTACTCTTAGTAGTGTTCTTACTACTCTTAGTAGTGTTCTTGCCGTTGCGAGTATATGTATTACCGTAGACGTCGTTGCTCTTTACCGTTCTCCCTCCGCTTCCCCTGAATTCCTCGGGTGCCGCTTGAATGGCGTAACATACTTCAGGGAAAGCAGCTGCTTGCGGACAGTGCATCATTAATTATTCACTTTATGTTAATGCTTCTCCTAAGGAAGGACCACGCCCGAGAAATCGGTGAATCTAGGCTGATGTTTGCAGCACAGAACTACAATGCTGACAACTGAAATCCGACCCCTGAGCGGTGCGTTCACATTCTAGCTGTCTCTGTTTCGTAGTTTTACGATCCCGTGTTGGGTCTTTGCGATGTGAGCACACCGCTCAGGGGTCGGATTTCAGTTGCCGGCACAGCACTATGTGTGAATATCTGGACTGAGTCACCCGTGACAGTAATCATGGTAATGTACTAAAAACGTCAGTCCAAACCCTCACACCCTGTCCCTTTCGTGCAAACGTCAGGTCAGTCTCGTTTAACCAAGTTTTCCGGAGTTGCCCATGCTCAGGGCGAAACAGTTCACTGTTTTACACTGAGGAGTGAATATCCCAGGGTCCTCTCGCGTGATCACTTGCATGCAGAGCTGTGCCAGTAATATTCGATCTATTCGTTTCACCTAAATTGTAGGTAATGTGTAGCTACACGACTACACTCATCTCACGTCACAAGTTACTGTATGTGTTGGAACTTGCACGTTCTTGCATCACCTTTACCGCGGTATCTTACACATTCTCGTGGTTTTGCACTAGCGGTTACCCTCAAGCGCAAATCAATGCGCTGATTTTCTTCTTTGTTTGTCAGCTATTATTCGCTGAAAGAGAGTGCTCCTCAGATATTCTATCCATTCAACATTATCCGAATGTCTTCCGTGATGATGAAACATAATAATCATGCCGGTCAGAACCAGCTGCATGAAAGAGTATCTGTATCTGTCCCTGTATTGGAGTCTGTTTGTCGATGGTTTGGTTGCCGTGGTCGGCTGGAAAGCACATGCCGTTGTGGCGAGAATATAAGGTCTCAGAAAACTGCACCGGCCGGGAATCGAACCGGGCCATCTGGCATGGCAAGCCAGGATTCTACTACGGAACCACTGATGCATGCGTTCACGGACACGAACGGACAATGTGAGTTTGTATACCGTATACAGTACAGGTTTCTGTGGTCAATGTATGTGACAGAGAGACTACCGTCAGCGCTCTAGACACATCGACAGGACTGCATGTCCTGGCGACGTGTCTAGGAGATGATTACGTGGAGTATGCTTGGGTTTGCTTCATTAGTACAACGTGTCAATAACTGCATGAAGTACGCCGTCGCGTCAATCGCCATCAGCTATAATGCCCTGTCCATCCGATACTGCAACAAAGATTATTAGCAAGATAACCAAGGAATTCCGAAAGAGTGCGATAGGAAGGTGTATATCTCCACGCGTAGCACAATCGGAGCCTGAGCTGGTGCTGTATGTGCATGTCTCCCATAGTAGCGGTCCACCTTCTAACCTTGTAGCTGGCCGCTTGGTACTCGGTTAACTGTTCGATATGATTTTTGTGTTTCTCAACGTATAGTCGGTCGTAACGCGGACGTGCCAACTTTACTAGAACTTACTTACCCTAGTGGGCAAGTAATGTTAACGAATGACCACACATGTGGAAGATAAACCGTGCTGGATAAGGCTGCTCTTCTGAGTTTCATGCCACTGTGGCAATCTTCAGGCAACCAATGATGTCGGGGTGGCAACCTATTAACCTGAGTGGGCTTGTGTTTGTTTGTATGTGTGTGTGTTTGTTTGTATGTGTGTGTGAAAGCTCTGCATTCTGTGCATTCAGCACTCTTCCATGCAACCGTTGCCCCTTTCCTGATGTACATGTACAAGATGCCAACACGCTCACTATCGTAGCGGTACTCACAGAAGATGAAGAGCAGAATACTGGTCAGCAGAGCCCACATTGTCCAACAGCGGTCTCCCAATGTAGCTGAGCTGATCCCTGGAGCATATGTAGCAGAGTTTGCAAGATTTCGAAGATCTGTCGTTGTCCCGATCGATCCGATCGCATTACCAGAAAGCTCAGCTTTACTCTGCTAAGAAAGCTGTGTCTGAACAAGCTGAATAACCTGAAAGCACATCTTCCTGGTCTGCAACATGGAGGCTTGCATAGTTGTACGTGACACCCAGAGACACAACACTCTATCTTTCCTCTCCTTGTTGTGGTGGAGACTGGCTTCATTAGTCGGAAGAGTAGGCAGCAGCAGTGGTCGCCTGTTCAGTACAGGGCGGAGAGAGCATAATTATGGTGGGGAGTTTGCAAGCATGGCTCCGGAGTCCTGGCTCCCTCAGGATAATTTTGACCGATTGGTCTTGTGTCCCCTGTCGCACAATACTGGCATTACATGTACACGGACTAGATCATACATGTACATGTACTGGAGAACTGTGGCAAGAAAGTCATGTGCGCATGGGTAACAGCCAACAGTGAACACGTACAGTATCCCTGAGAAGCGCTGGTGTAGGTTGGGTGAGTGTTGATTACGAAGACGAAGAACCAACACAGTTTCCTGCACAGACACGCACGTCTCTTCTCCCTGCAGACCGGCAAGAGTCATTTGGACGACAGAGAGTATTGTTGCGGTTGTGGCTGCTGGAGCTGCTGTCGTAGATGCACTAACCAGGCTGTAGCAGTGTAGGGGGATGTATAGGACGCGTGGCATCCGGGACACTTCGGGATCGTCCCAACACTCTGAATTGCCCACACTTCCACAGCTGCAACGTGCAGTACTTTAGTAGTATTATTGGTGATTTGTAATTTTGTATTGGATTCTCCAAAGGCCCTCGCCTATCGAGGGGTTTTCACAATACCAAAACGGTATGCAAACTGGGAAATAAGCTGAGCGGAGAATGGGATCATTGGGATGTAGACATACCGGTAGTGTTGAGCGAAGCTCTGACTTCTAGACTCCCTGTGCCGAAAGGCGGGGTGGCCAGTGGCCACTTCCCTTTACTTGTCTAACTCCCAAGACGAAAATGACACAATCATGTACTTGATAGTAGCCGACTGGTCGAAATAAAAAATAAATAAAAAAGCTCAAGTAAAACATCCACTGCCTGTGGTCCGGACAAACAGTGTGAATCCCATGCCATGGCTATGTTATGGCAGCCGGTTTTGTTGTGCTTGATGTCGCTAGCGCTCGAGCCCGTCGACATGCAATTGCAATGAGTATGATGTAAGCAGTGGATACGACAGGTAAAGCACACTTAACAGCACGTGACATTTGGTCACAAATCATGCATGATCATGATCAGTGGTCTACATGACCTGTACAGACCAGTATGACTCCCTAGTCAGTCCAGAGTCCAGTGCTTCGTGGTCGATGGCCGCGCGTTGCTGCTGCAGGTTGACTTTTTTTAGTCAAAGATGAATCGTTTGTTGCAGTTTACTCTGGCAGCCTGTCCGACTTCATACCATTTCTGAAAGCTGACCTGCCATCTCGTGACTCGGAGGCCATGTTCAGTCCGGCCATGACCCCTTCGAGTGCGAGCTTGTGGCGGACATTTGACGTTTCATTGAAGGTTGGGACGATTATTCAAATCGTCAACAGCACGCCACTATGCAGCCCTTTTCTCTTGTACCGCTACACTGCACCAGACGCGCATCCCGCGCAAGAGTACTTCGCTCTCACCATCCTGAAATTTCGTTATTTCTGGATTCGGCTGAAGGGAAGCGCTTCCGGCAGCACGTTCCCAGCTCCAGTGAAGCCTGAAGGAGAGAAAACCGGCTCGCGTTGACGGCGGTGGTGGTGGTGTGCAGTTGAAAATGGAACGTTCCTTGTCGCTCGCTGTGCTCACAGGTAAGTAGAGAGCTGTCTGATCGATGTCGCTCTCGATGCAAGTCCAGTTCCCATTCAGTGACCAACATTCAGACCTGTATGTATGTAGGGTGTCATTCGACTGAGACCATTATTTTGTCCACGAACAAATGGTTGCGGAGCCTGGTTTTCCTTCTGCCTTGTCCTGTAGTCGGTACTAGGCTGTCCCAGCGGTTGCGCGCACCAATCCGAAACAATGAAGGCAAAGCTCGAAGGTCCGAAACTATTGGATTTCTCAGTCTATTTGTCACGCGTACCGCGTATTACTGTAATGTATAAGTACGGACTTAGTACAGTCAAACCTCGTTAGGACGAACTTCAAGGGACCGAACAAGTCTGTTTGTCTTATCCGGAGTTCTTCTTATCCAGATCTGACAAAAAAATTGATATGCATAATTATCATAATAATTATGGTTTGTATTTATGTGAAGGTGCATGCTGTGGCAAATGTAAAACATTTTTTTAAAGTACAATGTGCAATGAATTCATGACAGCATTACATCCGCCTTGTAACATGTTTTGCCAGTACAAGAGGCCTCCACTATCGGAAAAAAGTACAGCCAGCGTACGCACGGGGACCGAAAGTTCGTACTACACGCTCAGGGTTCTAGCCAAAGGGGGGAGGGGAGTAGGGGGCGCAGCCCCCCCCCCCTCCTACTCTGTTTGCACCCCCCCCCCCCCCCCCTGTGAAAATGTGCTGCCTCCCTACTCATTTTCCTATTTTTTTGTTTTCATGCCATTCAATGAAAATGCAGTCGATACAAAATGCAGTCGATAGTCAGTACTAGAGGGTTCATAAGGGCACATTTGCCTGGGGTGAAGGCAGGTGTTCGCCCTGTACGTTGCATTTCGATTTGGAAGACAGTTATTTTGAAAATGGAAAATGGGTTACTGGGTACCTGTTTTCCCTGCCCCCCCCCCCCCCCCCCCCCCACACACACCCTACTATTTTGACCTGGCGAGAACTCTGACGCTGATTTTGTTCAAATCACGCTGGAAATTAGTTCGTCTTCACGAAAGTTCGCCGTACAGTGTTCGTCTCGTAAACGAATAATTTTGACTTGATAATACGATGGCTGGCCAACCATAGGGTTGGCCCTAGTTCGTACTAAAGGAAAGTTCGCCTTATCAGTGTTCGTCCTGACGAGGTTTGACTGTACATTTGTTACGCAAACTAAAATGTACTTGTACAAACTTGAAAGCTGACCAGTGAAAGCCGCTCCCATGATGAAAGCAGCGCCGAGTTGGACTGTACACAGCACAGCCCTGTATCTTGCGAAACGCTATCATTGGAGTCACACACTCAAGATGGGAAGTTTCAAGTTGACCCTATAAAGTTGAGTGGCAACACACACTAAGGGGGCGTTAGAATTGTCTTCATCAACTGTTCGAACAAATTTTAAAAGAGATTAGTTGGAGTGTCTCAATAGAACGGTTTCTATCGTTTTAGATTTTTTCAGTGATAAGGATGTCCGATCAGATCGACCATCTCGACGTACATGTAGCTATTCCAAACTCTTCGGAACTAATCCACCTCTCCCATCGGATGAGGTTGTGGACTTTCGAGGAGTTTCATCTATCTGAAGAGGCCAATAAGAAGCCAACTGTTCAGAAAAACGAAACTCCTCGAAAAGTGAAAGAGTGACAATTCGAACTGGCCCTGAGTGGTCTCTCCACTGCAAAACATCATCCTTCTCCAAACAGTCTAGCTTGGTAGGTCGGTGTAGGCTGCGATATTCATGATGGTGAATTTCAAGGATCGGTACAGTACTAGTGTGTTTCTATGAATGGTACACTGAGCATAATACAGTCAAACATTGTGGATGACCATTGTGAGAAAAATGTGCTATTCGCGAGTCGGCATTGTTCGTGAAGCTGAAAGTGTGCAGTCAAATGAGCACTAGCTCTCAGGATTGTGTTGTTATTCGCATGTTGTTGTTAAACCCGAGATCGTTATTTGGAAGTTGACTGTTCATTCGTACCGTTTCTACTGAGTGCTGAGTGCCTTGTGGTGTACCGGTCATGGATACTTCATTCAATCATTGGTTCACTGCAAGTATATTGTGGCGTTTGTCAAGTGAATGCATGCCTTTAGCATCCGGTGCTACACCGGACAAGCGTGTTGAAAGAACGCAAACAGCTTGTATGCTTGTAGCATTGGCCATTCAATACCAACACGGTCATTTTAATGTTCACAACGCAACTATCTTGCGAGTGTCTAAATTCTAAAAGCTACCTGGTACTGTGACCTCGCACTTTATGTACACTCAGACGTCGCTTAACCGCACATATCCGTTTTCCACAAAAATATCCGGATAGGCGAGGGAACTGGTTATGTTGGATACGCATGGCATATGCTGTAAATCTGTAACTGGATATTTTCCGCCGGATGGCGAGGGATCCGGATAAAAGAGGACCGGATAAGCGAGGTCGGACTGCATAATACTTTTTGTTCATTCAATAGTTCTAGCCTATTGTGGAGCTGATGACTTTCTAACAAATTACAATTTAGTGATCGGCCACTGCCCTCTACCCCCCCCCGCCCCCCCCCTCCCTACGCACACCGTGTACCATGAACACACAAACAGTCACACACCCTAATGCAAAATCGCTGTAAATAGGTCTTTCATCTTAATCTGTATGTTTCTCTGTGTGTGTGTGTGTGTATGTGTGTGTGTGTGTGTGTGTGCGCACGCATGTGCGTGCACGTGCGCATGTGTGTGTGTGTGTATGCGTATGTGTTTTATATATGCGTGTGTGTGCGCGTGATTTTTTGATGCATTCCGGGATTCCTTTTGGTCTATCAGTACTACTCGTGGCTTCAACGCAAGCACAGACATTACCCTCCGGTGAGCTTATTACACTCTGAAATCAAAAATCTACCTGTGTGTCTACCTGTGTGTCTGCCTGTGTGTCTACCTGTGGGTCTACCTGTGTGTGTACCTGTGTGTCTACCTGTGTGTCTACCTGTGTGTATACCTGTGTGTATACCTGTGTGTCTACCTGTGTGTCTACCTGTGTGTCTACCTGTGTGTCTACCTGTGTGTATACCTGTGTGTCTACCTGTGTGTCTACCTGTGTGTCTACCTGTGTGTCTACCTGTGTGTATACCTGTGTGTCTACCTGTGTGTCTACCTGTGTGTCTACCTGTGTATATACCTGTGTGTCTACCTGTGTGTATACCTGTGTGTATACCTGTGTGTCTGCTTGTATGCTGCTATGTTCGGATACCTTCAACTATACAGTACACCAGCTGCTCTTTTTCATGTTGCTTGCCCTTCTAGACTTGCAATTTCAGAATGCTTGGCCTCATTCCCTTCTCTCACATTGGTTTGGCTTTATAGCGGCCTAAGTTAGGCACACTTGAATTGTTTGCAGGCAACCTGCCTACACTCAAGAGAGCACTGCATTTCGCACAAATCCATTGGTATCGTTAAAACGTTTCGGTCTTTATGACCATGATCAGGAAGTTAGGCATGTCTCTTTTAAACCATGTATTGTAGTTCTTTGGAATAGTTTCGCTTCTTGTTCCTTTAGAAAACAATGCTGGGTGAAGGTATGCACGTGTGTATGTGTGTATGCTTGCATGCATGTGCACGTGTGTGTCTGTGCATGTCCATGCATCTCCCCAAATCTCTCTCTTTCTCTCCATATCTCTCTCTCTCTCTCTTCTCTCTCTCTCTCTCTCTGTCCCTCTCCCTCTTCCCCTCCCTCCCCCCCCCCCCTCTCTCTCTCTCTCTCTCTCTCTCTCTCTCTCTCTCTCTCTTCTCTGCTTTTTTTGTTATTCACAGGATGTTCGTGCAGTGCCTCAGGCCTTGCAACGTACGCGTTCACCTTCGACGCTGACTGGATCAACCCGTCACCACCTGTGGGCGCACATTGGTCCTGGCCCATTGGTGCCGCACACTCACCGTGCACAGTCGTATGGAGAGATGGTCAGCTGGCCAGTGCTGGGGTGAAGCAAGTAGCAGAACTGGGCTCCACCGGTACCATTCAGAATGAGTTCACAGCTGCCAAAGTTCTGTCCACGTTCCGAGGGGATCTGCTTGGCAAACCGCTTGGCAGCACGTCTCGCTCTTTTACCGTCAATAGGTAAATTTATTTGAATGTGTGCGAGGGGGCTGGGGGGGGGGGGGTGAGGGATTGGGGGGGGGGGGGGGGGGGTGTGAGGGGGTTGGGGGAGGAGTATGTGTGTGTGTGTGTGTGTGTGTGTGTGTGTGTGTGTGTGAGAGAGAGGGGGTTGGGGGGGGGGGGGGGGAGGAGTGTGTGTGTGTGTGTGTGTGTGTGTGTGTGTGTGTGTGTGTGTGTGTGTGTGTGTGTGTGTGTGTGTGTGTGTGTGTGTGTGAGGGTATGTGTGTGATGTGTGTGTGTGCGTATGTGTGTGTGTGCGTGTATGTGTGTGTGTATGTGTGCTTGATGTTATTCACACTGCATGGACCAACGGAACGGTTCCCCAGGATTGGCGGGATGCCCAACTCGTCCCGATTCCCAAAAAGGGTGACTTGACCAACTGCAACAACTGGCGCGGCATTGCCCTCCTAGATGTCGCTGGCAAGGTTTGTGGCCGTCTCATTCAGGACCGTCTCCAACTTGTCGCGGAACAAGAACTTCCAGAATCCCAGTGTGGCTTTCGCCCTGGTCGCGGCTGCGCTGATGCCATCTTTTCCATTCGCCAGCTCATCGAGAAATCGTACGAGCACCGTCAGAAGCTGTTCTGTGTCTTCGTAGACCTGAAGAAAGCATATGATTCCGTACCACGCCAAGCACTCTGGCTAGCATTGGGGAGGCTAGGCATTCCTGAAGGGCTCCTCAATCTAATCCAATCGTTCCACGAGAGCATGCAGGCAGCTGTGCGCGTCGGTGCCAGCACTACCGAGCCGTTTGCGGTCAACAATGGCCTCCGTCAAGGCTGTGTGATGGCCCCAGTACTTTTTAATCTGTACTTCGGTGTTGTGCTTGAGCGGTGGGCACAAATGATGCAGGACAGCGACCATCCACCTGGCATCCCCATCCAATTTAGCATCAATGGCAACCTTTTCTCAAAGCCCGCTCGCCAGTCTACTGCCGCAATCATCAACGACATTGAGTACGCAGATGACGCGGTCTTGCTCGCTGAAGACCGCCCTGGTGCTGAGAAGTGCCTTGAAACATTCTGCACGGTTGCCTCTTCCTTTGGCCTCTGCGTCAACGCTGCTAAAACGAAATTTCTCGTGGCAGGTAGCCAAGTCAACATGCCTGATAGAGCCGATATGAACGTCAACGGTGATACTGTGGAGCACGTTCCATCCTTCATTTATCTGGGGTCCGTCGTGACACCGGATGCCCGCTCCTCTACTGACGTCAGTCGCCGCATAGCTGAGGCTTCCAAAGCCTTTGGAGCTCTTCTTCCAGTCTTGTCGGATCGCTCGCTGTCATTAGTCAGTAAGCGAAAGCTATACGTGGCCTGTGTCTTGTCCATTTTGCTGTACGGCAGTGAGTGCTGGACGCCCTTGAAAGCTGATAGTAGACGTTTGGATGCCTTTCATCATCGCTGCATCCGCACAATATTAGCCATCCCTCGCAGTCAGCAGCAATCCGATCGCATCACGTCTGCGCAGTTACGTCGTCACTGGGGTGACCCAGTGCCACTCTCTGTTAAGATGCGCCATCGTCGTTTAGAGTGGCTTGGTCATGTGGCTCGGATGTCGGAGGACCGTGTCCCATTGCAGCTGTTGTTTGGTCGTTTGTTGGCTGCGCGCCCCTTCTGCGGTCCCAGGCGTAGGTGGAGAGACGTTGTGGCTACTGACACGAAGTCCATTCCAAACTGGTTTGATTGCGCACAAGACCGGTCAGCTTGGCGAGAGCAGGTTCTGGTTTTTCAGCCTCCTCGGGCAGTAGAGAAATCCGTACTCTGCTCATCTTGCAACCGGGCTTTCTCTCGTCCTCAAGACAAGGCACGGCACAAGTGTTTGGCTGAGCGCCAACTTCCCGTCCACCAACAGCGTGGTTCAGCACAGTGCGTCAGTTGCTGCCGATGGTTCCGTAGTAAGGGTGGGCTTGCAGTTCATCGCTGCCAGCCTGCACTCCCTGAACATGCAGATACGGCATTGACGGCGTCTCTCGCTAGTTGCTGCTTCCAGCATTGTCAACGCTGCAATCGCTGCTTCAAGTCCCGGGCTGGTTTTAACCGCCATAACTGCAACCGTGGAAAACGTCTTGCTGCAGCCGATAGGGAATCACTGCCGCTGATCTGCATGCATTGCCCGAAACGTTTCCGACGACAGCAAGATTTGACGAGGCACCAGAAGTCCTGCCAATGACGGTGCACTCCAAACTCTGGCCCCCTCCGGGGGTGACATTGCCCAATGGGCAGTCATGCTATAGTAGTAGTAGTATGTGTGTGTGTGTGTGTGTGTGTGTGTGTGTGTGTGTGTGTGTGTGTGTGTGTGGTGTGTGTGTGTGTATGTGTGTGTGTGTGTGTGGTGTGTGTGTGTGTGTGTGTGTGTGTGTGTGTGTGTGTGGTGTGTGTGTGTGTGTCCATGTGTTTGTGTGCGTGTTGTGTGTGTGTGTGGGGGGGGGGGGGGTGTTTGTCTGCATGTACTTCAAAGTATGTATGCATGTGCGTGCGTGCATGCGCGTGTGTCGTTCTTATCTACCATATTCTCCTGACCCCTGTTGGACCCACTTGGCCGGCTACTAACAGCCAGTGCATTCCTGAGTACTTTGCTTTGATGTTCGTGAGTGAAAAAGAGAGGAAAGACCGCAAAGTAAGATTTCACTAGCCAGGGAACTCCTGTTTAACAGCGATATGTTGTGGTCCTGGAAGTCAACTCTTCAGTCTGGGAAGTTGTTGCGTGTGTCTGTGTGTATGTGCACATGTGTGCATATGTGGATGTGTGTATGTTTGTTTATGTGTATCCCTTGCAGGTATTATCCACTTGTATCTGCACTGTCTATGATAGCTCCATCTCCGGACTGGTTTGTTGGTGTGGACTCCTTCAGCCTGTGCTCCGGATCCACATGGACAAGCTCTGCTACGATTCCTCTTTATGCCTGGGATGCTGGTGAGGCTTTTCGTCTGTGTCTGTGTGTCTTTGTCCATGTCTGTGTGTGTGTGTCTGAGTCTGTGTCCGTGTGTCTTTGTCCGTGTCTGTGGCTGTGTCCGTGTGGATTGTGTAAGGGCATTGTCCAATCATTGAGTGGCGTAGCTCTCTAAAATTGCAGTACCTATGGGCATGCTCTGACTAGCCTCCCCTCCCCCGCATGTAGAACTGCTCACAGTTATGTCATGACATATTCACTGGGTTGAGGGACATGTGCAGACGGGAAAAGTGTGAAGAAACATTGACTGTCACCACCAGGAATCGCACCAGGAACCTTGACTTAATGCCAGCGATGCTCTTACCACCAAGCTATGGTGTAGCTGTCATCCCAGCAGAGACCGTTCAACATTTTTCTTCAGACTTGACACAATTTATGTCATGTTTGCTACTAAATGCTAATCTGTTGTGTGTCCACATGTGTATGCATTGTTTGCCTTACAGGCACTGACAGTGGTCTGACGTTCGGGGCGGCCAACCTACCCACATCGCCGCCTGAGAACATTGCTCGTCTGGCCGGCGCCAGGGCAGCAAACACTAATTTTCAGTCCGTGCTTCCTGCCGTGCCTCTGGGCAACTTCACGTTCCGCTTGTCATCAGTCGACAGTACAGCCACTGGTTAGTATAAGTCTTAGGCTGATACAGAGCCACATACGCACTAGCAAAGAAGAGGACCAAGGAACTACAAGTTACGCTATAATGTCTAGTAACACCACCGGTTACTTGACAATCAGCTCATGCGATAACATTGCATAGCTCTGTAGTTCCTTGGTCCTTTTCTTTGCTGTAAATTAATCCTTGGCTCTCTATCCGAGTCTATATATAGGTACTAATGTTCACCTGTATTTGTACACGTGCAAACATGTTCATTGCCCCATCCCGCGAACAGGATTGCAGGCAATCTTTTCTCATTCAATGTGTGCAGCTCAGACTGCCTGTTCGTGAGACGGAGGATGGAAGTACTTACTTGGTCCGACTCACCAAAAATGTGTGGTTATCTTTACCTTGTATTTTCTCTTACTGCCAATGGATGGAGCTGCTCCAGTCCAGGGTACTTGAGATAGTACAACCACTACCAACAAGCACATGCATCCCTCGTTATTTCTGACAGGCCTTTGCTTGTTGAGCGCGGCACTCCAAATACCACGAAGAGGTCTGTGTTTTTGGTGTGTACTTTTTCAAGTACAACGAAAAAAAAGAAGAAGAAAAAATACTAAATACCAATAGCTGGCTCGGAACCGCCAACGTGATGGGAGGCTCATGTTGATCAATTTGTTGTTGGTATTATCCGAATGGAGTTCTAGACATTCAAGCTTAGTCTATGACCCACTATACAGGACCTTAGGAGGGCAAAGGAAATGCGGCATTTGACAAATGCCATGACGTGTGCATACCGGTCACTACGCTTTTAAACAGCTAACAACGATGCAATTCTCTTGTACAGGCTGGTTGTCGAACGCCCCAAACCACCTTATGCCATCATAACTACCGGGGGAAAACTACGCATGTTCAACATTCCGGACCCGCTCCTCGTACTTCCTTCGTTTTTCCTGCTCATGCCTATGGTAGATAGTGGCCAGTGGTGCAATGCGGTTTGAGGCAGCATGGGGGTAAACCTGTACATCACTGAGTGTTCGCTCGAAACGACTGCCCCGCAATCCACTCCACTTTGCCATACGATATCTAAGCTTTTCATCCATCTGAAGGGATGTTTTCCTACTTTCTTCTTCTTGCTCATCATCATCATTACAGTGCCTTCTGGCCACATCTCGCCAACATCTACCAAACTCCATACGCTCAACAGTTTTTGTGCACACGCACATGTTGTTCAGGCGTCAGGGGCCCAGCCTCCCTGCCCATCCGACCCGCCACACACAACAACGAAACTGAACTAAGAGTTCTATACATAATTTCTTGACAAGACGGAGACGGACAGACAAGAAGACCGGACACGACGAGGTAAACTGAAAACTGAAGAAAAAGACTAACATTATTGCAGCATATGAGCATGCGCACAAACAAAACACAACGTATGACAATGACGTAACGTTACTTGGATCATGTACAAACTATACCTGCAACCAAAACCCGTCAAATATGAGTCAAAGCAGAACGCAAAACAAACCAAAATAAACGAAAGGACCACAACAAAAATAAGCCATGAAAAGTTTTTCTACCGATACACAACAACAGTGAACACCAACATCCATACCCATTAGTACGGCTTCATTTATCTTCCTTGCCGGGATAAACTTAGCGGGTCCGAGCGACAGCAATGCTCTTGCCTCTGGTGTCATCACACCCTCCACCTCGTTCTCAACCCCACTACCCTTGCGAGTCCGTCCAGTCTGGAGTGTCATCATTCCCTCCACCCCACTCTCAACCACTACCCTTGCGGGTCCATCAAGTCTGGGAGGTTCCTCTCTGGGGTCGTATTTTCTTTCCTCTCCCCTATGAGCATATTCTCCTTTCTCGTCAACCCTGCGCCGTCATCCCTCATCACGCTGTGATACATCTGATTGGCATGACCTAGCAGCCATCCAATGCATGTGGCAGGGAGTTTTCGATATAGTTGTCCCAGGGGTTGTTGGCGCTGTCTCTTCAAGCTATTTTAAATGGCACGCTACTTCTCCTCAATGAGCCTGATGGCCGCATATGTGAAGGATAGCTATGCATGTCATTCATGATCATTACGTGCATGCTGAATTGAAGTCGACATTTTTAGGGGGTGCACCCCCCCCCCCCCCCCCCATGCCCCATGCGAGCTACGCACTTGTAATTAGTTGCTACCCATGTGTCTAGGGAGTGGTTGAACCATTCTCGGATCCTGCTACAGTCAACTCCACTTATAAGTTATAACAAACTTGCATATAGCGAATTTCATGATATAGCAAACCGTTGTCCATGTCCCAGTTTGAACCCACAATGTAAATGAACTTCTGTTATAACAAACTTTGGCTATAAAGAACTAATTATCCTGCACAAATAGTGTTCGTTATATCAGGAGTCGACTGTATATACAACACTGTGCAGCCAAGTAATTGTAGACGATCTAGCTGCACTTTTTAAGATGGAGTTCGTACGGGGAGAAGCGCAGAGAATGGTATCAGAGAGCAGTGAGATGGTCTCTCCTGCACTGATATTTTTAGATTTTGCTACAGTGCAACCTGTGTAAGGCGACTGCTGCTCAAGAGCGCTTAGGGATGTGGTCACTGTGTACAGGTGTGATTTCCGTATCCAGTGTCATGTGACTGGAAATAGCACTGGTCACTGCAGTGGTCTTCTGGGACAGGTGGTTGCCTTGTCCAGGTTTCACAGTGCAATAAAACCTGTCAAGGCGACCACTCGGATAAGGCGACCACCTGTCCCAGAAGATCACTGCAACCAGGACCCAAGGATGCTATTTCCAGTCAAATGACCCTGAACAAGGAGACCACCTGGAAACAGGGACCACATTTTGAAGGTCCCTTGAGTGGTCGTCTTAGACAGGCTCAGTTCACAGTATATGAATGCGGAGCTAGGTAGCACAATAAGCTCGAAAGGATCTGAAGATCATGGCAATAGATATAACAGCGTGTCCATGCTTAATTCCTAAGAACGCTCATATCTCGCTTGTCTGGGCAGTCCGGGACCAGGTACTCTCCGCAACTCCGAGTCTGAATCGCATGCATTTCAATAGGGAAGGGGCAGAAGTCTGGCGTATGACATAACTATCCTCACACAAAAGGTAAAAGAGTAGTAATATTTCAACTACAACTCAATGACAGGGTGCCTCGCAGACAGACTTGCCCAGAACTTTGCGGGTCTAGATACGAGACAGAGATATGAGTGTATAGCCCTGGAGTGATCAAGTTAGGATCAATGTTGCACACTCACTACTCACTAGTATTGTGCAAAGCATACAGGCAAGTTCTCGCAATCACACCTCCCCCTGGCTATGTTTATTCCTTTCCATAAGTTACATGACTTTTTCAAGAACTTCTGTTCTATTCTGTTGAGCGTGTTTGTGTGTGTGTGTGTGTGTGTGTGTTGGTGTGTTTGTGTTTGTGTGTGTGTGTGTGTATTTGTGTGTGTGTGTGTGTGTGTTTGTGTGTGTGTTTATGTGTTTATGTGTGTTTGTTCGCATGTGTGTGTGTTTGTGTGTGTGTGTGTGTGTGTGTGTGTGTATGTGTGTGTGTGTGTTTGTGTGTGTTTGTTCGCATGTGTGTGTGTGTGTTTGTGTGTGTGTGTGTACGTGTGTGTGAACGTGTGTGTGTACGTGTGTGTGTGTACGTGTGTGTGTACGTGTGTGTGTGTGTGTGTGTGTGTGTGTGTGTGTGCATGTGTGTTGTTGCAGTAACTGATCCACAGTGCTCGATGTGCATTGCACCAACAACTCAGCCACTGCCCACCACAGGCTCCCCGACAACAGCCTCCCCGACAACAGCCTCCCCGACAACAGCCTCCCCAACAACAGCCTCCCCAACAACAGCCTCCCCGACAACAGGCTCCCCGACAACAGGCTCCCCGACAACAGCCTCCCCGACAACAACATCAGTGATGCCTGGTGGTGGCTGCCCACAAGACTCCATTCCGTTTGGCAAGTGTCCCACGCTGTGCAATGTCTCTGATCCCACATACAATTGCTCTCAAGGGCAGCTGTGCTGTGCGGACAACTGCGGGGGTGCGAAGTGCACGAAAGCTTGTCCAGTGCTTCGGTGTTCACCGTGTAGTGCATATGTATATGATAACAACTCCTGTCCAACATGCCAATGCCAAGGTGAGTAAGGGTGCGACACTCACAGGCTATGACAGGCACTCATGTGACCATATCCAGACAGGCATAGTGCGATGGTCTAAGACTAGCGATGTCAGGGTAAATTTCTGTTTTGAGAATCGGGCAAATATTGTAATACCATCCGATTCCTGAAGACAAGTAGAGTATACTGGCAAAGTTTGAAGCAAATCGGAGCAAATATAGTGGACTTATTCCAGTTTAGAGTGCACGGGGTAAGCGCCGCCATTGTCGAAAAGCACCATGCCTCACTGTACACAAACCAGATCTCACCACGGCACAAAATCGGTCTTGACAACAGGGATCGCGGCTCATGAATAATCTTGCGCACTGTACAAAATGTACATACCGTAGCTGTACTGTTTTTTTTGTTGTTGCTGCAAACTGTTGGAGAAATTCAAGAAGACTGTTGAAGAGTAGCCGAAGTGTAAGTTGTGATTTGGCCATTCTCCGAGACAAGAAGAGTTCGACAAGTAGATTAGGATCCTGGTGGTGGTCCGCTTTGAACTTCATCAGTTCTAACACCAATGCATTTGAAACGTTTCCGATCATGCTAGGCAGGGGCTTATCCTGCAATAGCTGCTCCTCCTTGAGTCTGTCGCATCCCCTGCTCACAGTGACCGGACCCCGAAATCACTACGAGCGGCGACTGAATATATAGACGTGTGGCCTCACGACAAGCCCAACACAACCCAGGGGCCAACCAATATAGCTGGCTTGGTCCAAGTAAGTTCAACCCCACACGATCAACAGACAAACAAAGACTGTTAGATTTACGTTGTGAGTAGTATCAAATCCGAGCTCAAAGTAAACGAAGACAGAGAGCTGAGACCGAGTCTCGACTGCTAGACTAGACTAGAGTAGACTAGACTAGACTAAAAACTGAACTGAAGTAAGAAAGAGAATGAGAGCTTCTTTTATAGGGTGCTTCAGAGATATATGGCGTGATCATTGCGAGGTAATTCCAGGAAATAGCAGAACAAGTCAAACCGGAATGTGAGCAGCCAGTCAGCAGAAATGCAGAATATATGTACGGTGATCATTCGAGAAGAAAGAGAAAGAAAGACATCGAGAAAAGAAAGACCAAATTGGGACGTGGGGAGCCCGCTCACCCACGTCAGAGTACAATGTGAGTATATGAGGGTCACGTTGGGGAGCCCGCTCACCCAACGTGCCATAGTTCAGCGGCTTCTTATGGTAAGTTCTGCTGCATTCTTGGTCTTGCTTGCGTGATACTCTGACCTCTTGCGCGGTGACGGTTTTGGTTCTTGCACACGTCTCATGTCTTGCACTTAGCTCTTGTTATACAATGTCATATTAGTCTTGGCTCTTTGCACGAAGCGCCGAGGCATCGTGGAAACCTGTAGAACGTCGTAGTGACGTGGTTTTGCACAAAGCCTGGAGTCGCATTTCCAGGAAGTGAAGCACTTCCAGGAAACGTACAACGCGAGAACCTACCTGACCAGGTTCCGGCCTTGGATCACATGACATGTTATGCCAAGAAGGCATGTCACCTATGTGGGAAAGCGCGTGTCGCTCAACCTACATGCTAAGCACGTGGGACAAGACACTGGCCAAACCACATTGTCCCAAAAGGGCATGACAGCTCAGCACAGAGCTGCTCACTAGGTAGATCCTGCTGTCACAGGACTATCAGGCAGCAGTAGTCACGTTCAGGGACGTGACAAGTCCAAGACTCGACAAGACATCTCCACCGCCGGTCCCTTTGCTGGACGAACACTCATGATGGCGTTGTATCCAGCAATGGAGTACCTGTCGCGAAAAATACTACAAGTCTGGTGCGCGGCGTGATACGCCGGTGAAACTTGGCAGCTAACTAAATTGGACGACGGGGAACACGATGGAACTAAAATCAAACCTGTATCAGGCAGTGCAAGAGATGAAAAAGGCGACTGAACATACGCTACCTTGTCGGCGGCCATACTCCCAGCTCTGAAGGCGCAGCGCGCCCGCACGAACGCGGATACGAAAGTTCATCTTCTATTTTCATGGCAATAGTCACAACCAAGCTTGTCACTGACGTCTTCAGGACACATTTGAAAATCCCGCGTGCCAAGTACTGCACGCACTAGCCGCGACTGGCGTTCTGCCGTACTGGCCTTTTGTGCCATCATTTCAGCTGGTTGCTGGGGAATCCAGCGACAAGCGTGGAGGTCACGTGGCACGGCACTCTGACATCGCTACTAAGACCATGATTGAGAAACGGACGGTACCATGTTCAAGTCCTGCTAGGATGCAGAAGGATATTTTCCAGGCGTGGATGGGTGGGTGCGTGCATGCACGTGTGTTGTTCTACAGTAAAACCTGGTTTAAGCGACCACCCCACGGTGCAAGGAAAAGCGGTCGTTAAAGCCAGGCGGTCTTTAGAACCATGTCCCACAGTGTCTGTATAGAACTGTCGGTGCATGGAAAAACGGTCGTTAAGAGCAGGTGGTCGCTAAACCCAGAGGTCGCTTACACCAGGTTTTAATGTATAAGAAGGTAGTGAAAGTATCGATCGATTCGATTGCTATGGAAATCTAAGTGAAATGGTCTTCTCGTTTGTGCTTTCTCGTTTGTGCTTTATGCATTACTGTTCTATGCATTACTGTTCTATGCATTGCTGTTCTATGCATTGATGTTCTATGCATTGATGTTCTATGCATTGATGTTCCATGCATTGATGTTCTATGCATTGATGTTCTGTGCATTGATGTTCTATGCATTGATGTTCTATGCATTGATGTTCTATGCATTGATGTTCTGTGCATTGCTGTTCTGTGCATTGATGTTCTATGCACTGTTTGTCACTTGCAGCAGCCACGACACCACCACCAGTATCTACTACAACAGCAGTAGGATATCAGATTGGTGGAGGATGTCCTGATGTGAGCACAGGTTTTGGAATATGTCCAACGAATTGTGACGTAGATGCAAACTGTACTACAGCAGGAGAGTTATGTTGTAAAAATCAATGTGGAAGTTTGCAATGTACTGCAGTATGTACACTACAACAATGTCCTGTCAAGTGTGCCATGTACACTTTGGATAGCAGAGGTTGTCAAACATGTACTTGCATTGGTAAGTCTCAAACATCCTGCAAACTGTGCAGGCTCTAAATTTCTCTTCTTTGTCTCAGACCATTGTTTCATCCGCTGTCATAACCTCTTACCTGCATGACACAGCTATTCTACAGTGCCCATTTTGTCCAAATCATATCGATAGATTTGTTCCACACCCTCCCTACCATTATATTGACATGTCAGCAGATGGGTTTCTGAAATGCAGTACGAAAATTGTGGTTGAACATGACAATTTGATGTTGAGTTCATCGCTAGACACCTGACAAAGTGTGAGGCCGTAAATATTCCTAAGGCCGACCCGTCGCACCGGCTTTGGAGGTGGGTGGCCATGGAAGGCGGTTCGGTGGCCCTCACGCGGGAGAAAATTTCAAAAATTGAAGCCAATTGCAAGAATTTCCGGGCATTTGGTTCATTTTCAGTGAAACTACAATGAAAGACTCTTTGATTCTGCAAAAAAAAACAAGAAGATTCTACGATTGGGGACAAGGATTCTTCATTGTTCACCACGTTTGCGCTGAGCTGTGATCATCTCGCTTTGTTACAGTGTGCTCCAAAAGAATCGGCCACAAAAGTGGAGTGGCCTCAGCCGCCCCAGACCCAGCGGCTGTGACGACCTTGTTTGGGCCTAGTGCATTGTGGGCAATGTCCAACCAGCCTGTAGAGTTTCAATTGAAGTCTTCGTTCCAAAGTCTGAAGGAGATGTTGCACTGTCTCTGCTGCATAGGATTTAATCTAATATGTAGTTATTGTATCACATCGCTGGGCCGTAGGAAATGTCCTTGCCTGGTGTCCTGGTCGTGACGGGAATTTATCTTCGGACTTTTGTTTCCTTTTTCCATTCCCTCAAACTAAGGAAATGAATCCTGATTTTCCATATGATGTTGTTTGTTCCTTGCAGCAGCCACGACACCACCACCAGTATCTACTACAACAGCAGTAGGATATCAGATTGGTGGAGGATGTCCTGATGTGAGCACAGGTTTTGGAATATGTCCAACGAATTGTGACGTAGATGCAAACTGTACTACAGCAGGAGAGTTATGTTGTAAAAATCAATGTGGAAGTTTGCAATGTACTGCAGTATGTACACTACGACAATGTCCTGTCAAGTGTGCCATGTACACTTTGGATAGCAGAGGTTGTCAAACATGTACTTGCATTGGTAAGTCTCAAACATCCTGCAAACTGTGCACGCTCTGAATTTCTCTTCTTTGTCTCAGACCATTGTTTCATCCGCTGTCATAACCTCTTACCTGCATGACACATAGCCAGCAATCGCATGTCATCACGTACATTGAAAATCAACATAATTTTGCGAATCGACCTTTTTTTCAGGATCACTTTTCAACGAGGACGAAGCAAAGTCGGCCGAACGAAGCCTAGAGGAAGAAAATCACCCTCTCCACTTCACCATCACGATACTGACATAGATACGAGATGAAACAACTAAAAAATCCACAAGAAAACTGTACGGCCGTCATCGCGCTGACTTAGGTCTGACTTTGGTCTGAGAATTTCTATCACGATCAAAAATGTACGAGGAGTACTGAAAAATAAGCCACAGACGTACCTTTATCGCTGTCTACTCCTTTTTCAAGGCACAAAAGTCGACTCTCCACTTTCAAACCAGGAACCAGACATACCAGTGGTCCTTTTCAGCTGCTCCACGAGCGCAGGAAATGTTCACCAAGGGGCGCAGAGCAGCATCCATTCCAGAAAAAGAGCTAAAATACGAGTGAAACTGCATGACTGAGTACATGAGTACATGTATGAGTACATGCAGAAAATAGTCAATTTAGGCGTTTCTGCTCCAAACAGCAACAAGCTTCGACTAGAAACAAAGATTACACCAAAGGATCAAACAACAACCATTTTCTGCAGTTATTTTTGCAGATGGCTTCCTTGTGCTTGGCCCAGCACGCCAAAAATCACACCTCGGAGGAGTACAAAAATTACAACTCTCAGATGTCCTCGATTGCTGGCCATGATAGCTATTCTACAGTGCCCATTTTGTCCAAATCATATCAATAGATTTGTTCCACACCCTCCCTACAATTATATTGACATGTCAGCAGATGGGTTTCTGAAATGCAGTACGAAAATTGTGGTTGAACATGAAAATTTGATGTTGAGTTCATCGCTAGACACTTTACAAAGTGTGAGTGGTAAATATTCCTTTGGCAGACCCGTCGCACCGGCTTTGGAGGTGGGTGGCCATGAAAGGGGGTTCGGTGGCCCTCACGCGGGAGAAAATTTCAAAAATTGAAGCCAATTGCAAGAATTTCCGGGCATTTGGTTCATTTTCAGTGAAACTACAATGAAAGACTCTTTGATTCTGCAAAAAAACAAAAAGACCGGGGACACGGATTCTTCATTTTTCGCCATGTTTGGGCTGAGCTGTGATCATCACGCTTTGTGAAAGTGCGCTAAAAAAATCGGCCTCAAAAGGGGGGTGGCCTCAGCCGCTCCAGCCGCCCCGGCTGTGACGACCTCGTTTGGGATTAGTGCAGTGAGAGCAATGTCCAACCAGCCTGGAGAGTTGCAATTGAAGTGTGCATCTTAAAGACGGAAGGAGATGTTGCACTGTCTCTGCTAGCATTTCATCTACATGTAGTTGTAGCTTATTGTTATCACATCGTTGGGCCATAGAAAATGTCCTTGCCTGGAGTCCTGGTCGTGACGGGAAATTTTCTGCGGACTTTTGTTTCCTTTTCCATTCCCTGAAACTAAGGAAATGAATCCTGATTTTCCATATGATGTTGTTTGTTACTTTCAGCAGCCACGACACCACCACCAGTATCTACTACAACAGCAGTAGGATATCAGATTGGTGGAGGATGTCCTGATGTGAGCACAGGTTTTGGAATATGTCCAACGAATTGTGACGTAGATGCAAACTGTACTACAGCAGGAGAGTTATGTTGTAAAAATCAATGTGGAAGTTTGCAATGTACTGCAGTATGTACACTACAACAATGTCCTGTCAAGTGTGCCATGTACACTTTGGATAGCAGAGGTTGTCAAACATGTACTTGCATTGGTAAGTCTCAAACATCCTGCAAACTGTGCAGGCTCTAAATTTCTCTTCTTTGTCTCAGACCATTGTTTCATCTGCTGTCATAACCTCTTACCTGCATGACACAGCTATTCTACAGTGCCCATTTTGTCCAAATCATATCGATAGATTTGTTCCACACCCTCCCTACCATTATATTGACATGTCAGCAGATGGGTTTCTGAAATGCAGTACGAAAATTGTGGTTGAACATGACAATTTGATGTTGAGTTCATCGCTAGACACCTTACAAAGTGTGAGGCCGTAAATATTCCTAAGGCCGACCCGTCGCACCGGCTTTGGAGGTGGGTGGCCATGGAAGGCGGTTTGGTGGCCCTCACGCGGGAGAAAATTTCAAAAATTGAAGCCAATTGCAAGAATTTCCGGGCATTTGGTTCATTTTCAGGGAAACTACAATGAAAACTTTCTTTGATTCTGCAACAAACCAAGAAGATTCTACGATTGGGGACAAGGATTCTTCATTGTTCACCACGTTTGCGCTGAGCTGTGATCATCTCGCTTTGTTACAGTGTGCTCCAAAAAAATCGGCCACAAAAGTGGAGTGGCCTCAGCCGCCCCACCCCCAGCGGCTGTGACGACCTTGTTTGGGCCTAGTGCATTGTGGGCAATAGTCCAACCAGCCTGTAGAGTTTCAATTGAAGTGTGCATTTCAAAGACTGAAGGAGATGTTGCACTGTGTCTGCTAGCATTTCATCTACATGTAGTTGTAGCTTATTGTTATCACATCGCTGGGCCATAGCAAATGTCCTTGCCTGGGGTCCTGGTCGTGACGGGAATTGTTCTTTGGAAGTTTGTTTCCTTTTTCCATTCCGTCAAACTAAGTAAATGAATCCTGATTTTCCATATGATGTTGTTTGTTCCTTGCAGCAGCCACGACACCACCACCAGTATCTACTACAACAGCAGTAGGATATCAGATTGGTGGAGGATGTCCTGATGTGAGCACAGGTTTTGGAATATGTCCAACGAATTGTGACGTAGATGCAAACTGTACTACAGCAGGAGAGTTATGTTGTAAAAATCAATGTGGAAGTTTGCAATGTACTGCAGTATGTACACTACAACAATGTCCTGTCAAGTGTGCCATGTACACTTTGGATAGCAGAGGTTGTCAAACATGTACTTGCATTGGTAAGTCTCAAACATCCTGCAAACTGTGCACGCTCTGAATTTCTCTTCTTTGTCTCAGACCATTGTTTCATCCGCTGTCATAACCCCTTTCCTACATGACATAGCTTTTCTACAGTGCCCATTTTGTCCAAATCATATCGATAGATTTGTTCCTCACACCCTCCCTACCATTACAATGACATGTTAGCAAATGGGTTTCTGATAGAAACATTGTGGTGGAACATGACAATTTGATGTTGAGCTCATCGCTTGACCCTTTGCAAAGTGCGAGGTGGTAATTAATTCTTTGGCAGACCCGTCGCACCGACTTTGGAGGTGGCCGGCCATGTAAGGGGGCTCCAGTGGCCCTCCCGCAGGAAACATTTCAAAAATTGAAGCCAATTGCAAGCATTTCCAGGCATTTGGTTTCTTTCCAGTGAAACTGCAATGAAAGACTTTTTTTGATTCTGCAAGAAACTAAGAAGACACTTTGATCGGGGACAAGGATTCTTCATTATTCGCCACGTTTGCGCTGAGCTGTGATCATCTTGTTTTGTTAAGGCCACGCCGTTTTTTTCTATGTTTCGCGCCACCTTATTAGATGAAATCAATGAGGGAGGGCGAAAAAAATAAAAAAGCCATCCAAAAAAACAGTGTTCGTGCATTGCATTTGTGTACAGTGAAGCGACGCGGCACTGTTCATGTACATGAATACATGAGTGTATCCCCTCTGCCATGCTTGTGGTCCAAACACAGGCGGCATGATGATTACACTTTGTACTTCGGAGCTTCGGCTTCGAATGTGACAGTGTGTTTGGCCTCAAATCGCTCTAGTTTTCCATAAATTCCCACACACTGTCACATTCTTCACCTTCAGGCACTCCTCGTGTAACCCCGATTCCATGTCGGACCCTGCGGGTCCTAGCGGAATCTACGATTGTGTGACTTGCGGCCCAGCTTATTACACACACATGTATAATTATGTACATGTGTGTGAGCAAGAGTTCATAACCCCCAAATATATAAATATGGGGGTTATGAACTCTTGGTGTGAGCTGAGTACAATCATGCGATAAATACATGTGCAATACCGGTATGTATGATGTAGAACAAATATTTAATTGATGTCATGTTCCTTTTTTTCCCCTTTTTGGTTACAATTACTTACTTACTTACTTACTTTCTTACTTACTTACATTTTCCGTTTTTCTGGGTTTGCATTAAATTTGTATTGCATTTTGACAAAAAATTGTTCCGTTTTTTTTAAACTCCGGCTTTGAAATACATGCGCGCGGGGGACTCGAAACACAAGATAAAAAACGGTGTGGCCTTACGTGTAGTCCGAAAATATCGGCCACAAAAGTGGGTTGGCCTCAGCCGCCCCAGCCGCCCCCAGGGCTGTGACGACCTTGTTTTGGCTTAGTGCAGTGAGAGCAATGTCCAACCAGCCTTTAGAGTTTCAATTGAAGTGTGCATTTCAAAACCTAAAGGAGATGTTCCACTCTCTCTGCTAGGATTTCATCTACATTTAGTTGTAGGGTATAATTGTTACCACATCGCTGGGCCATAGCAAATGTCCTTGCCTGGAGTCCTGGTCGTGACAGGAATTTTTCTTCGGACTTTTGTTTCCTTTTCCATTCCCTCAAACTAAAGAAATGAATCCTGATTTTCCATATGATGTTGTTTGTTCCTTGCAGCAGCCACGACACCACCACCAGTATCTACTACAACAGCAGTAGGATATCAGATTGGTGGAGGATGTCCTGATGTGAGCACAGGTTTTGGAATATGTCCAACGAATTGTGACGTAGATGCAAACTGTACTACAGCAGGAGAGTTATGTTGTAAAAATCAATGTGGAAGTTTGCAATGTACTGCAGTATGTACACTACAACAATGTCCTGTCAAGTGTGCCATGTACACTTTGGATAGCAGAGGTTGTCAAACATGTACTTGCATTGGTAAGTCTCAAACATCCTGCAAACTGTGCAGGCTCTAAATTTCTCTTCTTTGTCTCAGACCATTGTTTCATCCGCTGTCATAACCTCTTTCCTGCATGAAACAGCTATTCTACAGTGCTCATTTTGTCCAAATCATTTTCATAGTTTTCTTCCTCACACCCTCCCTACCGTTACATTGACATGTCAGCAAATGGGTTTCTGAAACGCAGTACAGTAAGATCGGGCGCCGAAGAACGCAGGGGCTCGAGCGCAGCCTAGGAAAGCTCTTAAATTTTGATTCTAGCCAGACCGTTCTTATTCACACGCGCGCGCGCGGCGAGTCGAGTGACGTCATGACGTTTGTCATGTACATGTATGTACATGTACAGTTGTGGCAAGTGAAATCCGACACTTGCCATAGGGGACAGCGCCACAACTGGACATCAATGATGTAATGCACTGCACCTAATTTGTACTATAGAGCCGTATGCATCCCAAACAGATCGAAGGGTCACACCGTAGATACACACAGTTCACAAATATGGTACACATAAGGAGTATTGGTATCTAATCCCCATTAATTTTTGCCAGCACCTTTTGAACCTTGACTGTGATGAGCACGAGTTTTGTCATCAGACAGATATTGAAAGTTGTATGTAACACATGTACTGTACGTATGCAGGGCTGCAGGGGCTGCAGACTGCATGGTGCAGTCCCCTATGCCAAGTGTCGGATTTCACTTGCCACAACTGTACATGTAGTGCAATGTAGTACATGTACTTCTAAACTAGTGGGTGTCGTAAATGCGAATGACTGTACATGTAGCAGTTACTGTTTACACGTGTACATGACATGTACTCACCTCCCATACATGTACAATGTAGATCTACGTACAATGTAGATCTAGTGTTCTTAAATCTGATAATTCTAGCCTGGACTGTTCTTAAAGTTTGCCGGTTTTCCAGCCTGGGTGTTCTTCGGCGAGGTGTTCTTCGGCGCCCGATCTTACTGTACGAAAATTGTGGTGGAACTTGAAAATTTGATGTTGAGTTCATTGTTAGACCCTTTGCAAAGTGCGAGGTGGTAAATATTCCTTTGGCAGACCCGTTGCACCAACTTTGGAGGTGGGCGGCCATGGAAGGGGGTCCAGTGGCCCTCCCGCGGGAGAAATTTCATTCAAAAATTGAAGCCAATTTCAAGCATTGCCAGGCATTTGGTTCATTTTCAGTGAAACTACAATGAAAGACTTTTTGATTCTGCAACAAACCAAGAAGATTCTACGATTGGGGACAAGGATTCTTCATTGTTCACCACGTTTTCGCTGAGTTGTGATCATCTCGCTTTGTTACAGTGTGCTCCAAAAAAATCGGCCACAAAAGTGGAGTGGCCTCAGCCGCCCCAGACCCAGCGGCTGTGACGACCTCGTTTGGGCCTAGTGCATTGTGGGCAATGTCCAACCAGCCTGTAGAGTTTCTATTGAAGTGTGCATTTCAAAGTCTGAAGGAGATGTTGCACTGTCTCTGCTAGGATTTAATCTAATATGTAGTTATTGTATCACATCGCTGGGCCATAGCAAATACCCTTGCCTGGAGTCCTGGTGGTGACGGGAATTGTTCTTCGGACTTTTGTTTCCTTTTTCCATTCCCTGAAACTAAGGAAATGAATCCTGATTTTCCATATGATGTTGTTTGTTACTTGCAGCAGCCACGACACCACCACCAGTATCTACTACAACAGCAGTAGGATATCAGATTGGTGGAGGATGTCCTGATGTGAGCACAGGTTTTGGAATATGTCCAACGAATTGTGATGTAGATGCAAACTGTACTACAGCAGGAGAGTTATGTTGTAAAAATCAATGTGGAAGTTTGCAATGTACTGCAGTATGTACACTACAACAATGTCCTGTCAAGTGTGCCATGTACACTTTGGATAGCAGAGGTTGTCAAACATGTACTTGCATTGGTAAGTCTCAAACATCCTGCAAACTGTGCAGGCTCTGAATTTCTCTTCTTTGTCTCAGACCATTGTTTCATCCGCTGTCATAACCTCTTTCCTGCATGACATAGCTATTTTACAGTGCTCATTTTGTCCAAATCATATCGATAGATTGGTTCCACACCCTCCCTACCACTATATTGACATGTCACCAGATGGGTTTCTGAAATGCAGTACGAAACTTGTGGTTGAACATGACAATTTGATGTTGAGTTCATCGCTAGACACTTTACAAAGTGCGAGGTGGTAAATATTCCTTTGGCAGACCCGTCGCATCGGCTTTGGAGGTGGGTGGCCATGGAAGGGGGTTTGGTGGCCCTCACGCGGGAGAAAATTTCAAAAATTAAAGGCAATAGCAAGAATTTCCGGGCATTTGGTTCATTTTCAGTGAAACTACAATGAAAGACTCTTTGATTCTGCAAAAAAACAAGAAGACGGGGGACACGGATTCTTCATTTTTAGCTATGTTTGCGCTAAGCTGTGATCATCACGCTTTGTGAAAGTGTGCTAAAAAAATCGGCCTCAAAAGGGGGGTGGCCCCAGCCGCTCCAGCCACCCCGGCTGTGACGACCTTGTTTGGGATTAGTGCAGTGAGAGCAATGTCCAACCAGCCTGTAGAGTTTCAATTGAAGTGTGCATTTCAAAGACTGAAGGAGATGTTGCACTGTCTCTGCTAGGATTTCATCTACATGTAGTTTTAGTTTATTCTTTTTATCACATCCCTGGGCCTTAGCAAAATTATAATTAGTGTCCTTGCCTGAAGTCCTGGTCGTGACGGGAATTTTTCTTCGGACTTTTGTTTCCTTTTTCCATTCCCTGAAACTAAAGAAATGAATCCTGATTTTCCATATGATGTTGTTTGTTACTTGCAGCAGCCACGACACCACCACCAGTATCTACTACAACAGCAGTAGGATATCAGATTGGTGGAGGATGTCCTGATGTGAGCACAGGTTTTGGAATATGTCCAACGAATTGTGACGTAGATGCAAACTGTACTACAGCAGGAGAGTTATGTTGTAAAAATCAATGTGGAAGTTTGCAATGTACTGCAGTATGTACACTACAACAATGTCCTGTCAAGTGTGCCATGTACACTTTGGATAGCAGAGGTTGTCAAACATGTACTTGCATTGGTAAGTCTCAAACATCCTGCAAACTGTGCACGCTCTGAATTTCTCTTCTTTGTCTCAGACCATTGTTTCATCCGCTGTCATAACCTCTTACCTGCATGACATAGCTATTCTACAGTGCCCACGTCAGGCGAAATTACTCGTCAGTCGGCGACACGCATTTTTCACAAAAATTTGCTTTTCACCTGCTGGGAGAGTATGCGTGTACTCGAGTCTCAACCTGAGCACGTTTGTTTCTCCTTTTTTCAGCTCCAGTATAGCTTTTTTTTCATTGCAAAGCCGTCCTCGATTGTTGTGTTCGTTGTTCAAACGAAGTGGACATTCAATCATGAAGGCAGAGGACATAGGAGCCTGATTGGAGTTTCTTGTGGCATAGGACGGCCACACAGAGACACTTTGCGATTTTCTGAATATAAAATACCGTACGCACGATGCTGAGATCATTTTGTGCGATATCAAATTGTTTGTGATCTACCACATCGAGCAGAACGGGATCCAAACACAAGCTTACCGACGGTTAGGCTGCCGACCTGACTGGATAAATGATCCCTGGCTTCACCAGACGCCAGAAGTCGGACACCATGTCCTTTGCCGCGACGTCCATCTCCAAAAAGAACTCCATCTTTGTCGCGAAAAGGCTTGAAATATTCAATATTCAACCGAGATTCGCGGACTCGCGCTTTCTCGGATCGATTAATTTCCTGTTGGAACAGTTGCAGGGCAGCTTCCCGCCACTGTTTCAACAGGCGATGGCTCCAAAGCATGCCTGGAACAAGCCATATCGAGGTTGCAAGCCACCCCTCTCAGCAAAAAATTCGAAGAAATTCGAAATTTCAATGGTGGAAGATATACTATAAAGAGAATTTCAAAAAGTATGTTTCGCGGAACGATCGCTCAACCTACGTCATTCAAACTTTGCAGGATGGTTCAGACGTACATGCTAGGCATGGAACCACAGGCGATGATGCCATAGCTGACACACAGAGTAACACACACAGCAGATTCGTGTGCACAGATACTAAATTAGTGGACGTCGTCATCTTCTTCCCGCTGATCTCGAATGTACTATGACGTGCTATTTCGCCTGACGTTTTGTCCAAATTATATCGATAGATTCGTTCCACACCCTCACTACCATTATATTGACATGTCAGCAAATGGGTTTCTGAAATGCAGTACGAAAATTGTGGTTGAACATGACAATTTGATGTTGAGTTCATCGCTAGACACCTTACAAAATGTGAGGTCGTAAATATTCCTTAGGCCGACCCGTCGCACCTGCTTTGGAGGTGGGTGGCCATGGAAGGCGGTTCATTGGCCCTCACACGGGAGAAAATTTCAAAAATTGAAGCCAATTGCAAGAATTTCCGGGCATTTGGTTCATTTTCAGGGAAACTACAATGAAAGACTTTTTGATTCTGCAACAAACCAAGAAGATTCTACGATTGGGGACAAGGATTCTTCATTGTTCACCACGTTTTCGCTGAGTTGTGATCATCTCGCTTTGTTACAGTGTGCTCCAAAAGAATCGGCCACAAAAGTGGAGTGGCCTCAGCCGCCCCAGCCCCAGCGGCTGTGACGACCTTGTTTGGGCCTAGTGCATTGTGGGCAATGTCCAACCAGCCTGTATAGTTTCAATTGAAGTGTGTGTTTCAAAGACTGAAGGAGATGTTGCACTGTCTCTGCTGCATAGAATTTAATCTAATATGTAGTTATTGTATCACATCGCTGGGCCGTAGGAAATGTCCTTGCCTGGAGTCCTGGTCGTGACGGGAATTTTTCTTCGGACTTTTGTTTCCTTTTTCCATTCCCTCAAACTAAGGAAATGAATCCTGATTTTCCATATGATGTTGTTTGTTCCTTGCAGCAGCCACGACACCACCACCAGTATCTACTACAACAGCAGTAGGATATCAGATTGGTGGAGGATGTCCTGATGTGAGCACAGGTTTTGGAATATGTCCAACGAATTGTGATGTAGATGCAAACTGTACTACAGCAGGAGAGTTATGTTGTAAAAATCAATGTGGAAGTTTGCAATGTACTGCAGTATGTACACTACAACAATGTCCTGTCAAGTGTGCCATGTACACTTTGGATAGCAGAGGTTGTCAAACATGTACTTGCATTGGTAAGTCTCAAACATCCTGCAAACTGTGCACGCTCTAAATTTCTCTTCTTTGTCTCAGACCATTGTTTCATCCGCTGTCATAACCTCTTACCTGCATGTCATAGCTATTCTACAGTGCCCATTTTGTCCAAATCATATCGATAGATTTGTTCCACACCCTCCCTACCATTATATTGACATGTCAGCAGATGGGTTTCTGAAATGCAGTACGAAACTTGTGGTTGAACATGACAATTTGATGTTGAGTTCATCGCTAGACACTTTACAAAGTGCGAGGTGGTAAATATTCCTTTGGCAGACCCGTCGCACCAAGTTTGACGGTGGGCAGCCATGGCCCGGTGGCGGGTTCCGGCGGCCCTCCCACAGGATTCTTCATTTTTCGCCATGTTTGCGCTAAGCTGTGATCATCACGCTTTGTGAAAGTGTGCTAAAAAAATCGGCCTCAAAAGGGGGGGTGGCCCCAGCCGCTCCAGCCGCCCCGGCTGTGACGACCTTGTTTGGGATTAGTGCAGTGAGAGCAATGTCCAACCAGCCTGTAGAGTTTCAATTGAAGTGTGCATTTCAAAGACTGAAGGAGATGTTGCACTGTCTCTGCTAGGATTTCATCTACATGTAGTTTTAGTTTATTCTTTTTATCACATCCCTGGGCCTTGGCAAAATTATAATTAACCCTTTGCCGGTCTAACTCAATGTTTGTGAGGGGTGGTCACGCAAATACAGGTACACACAACCAGCAATAACTCAAGAACCATGTGATGTAGGTATGGGTAAACCATATATTTTCAAAATCTGTAAGCCTGAACGCGTCCAGAAAATTCAAATATGACTAGGTCCAGGCAAGGATAGGGCCCATGGTAGCTGTTGTGTATCACTGGCCGATTATCTATGTCAGTCCATAACACACAACAAGAGCTTCGGTTGTTGTAGCTTGACTCTGGTCAAGGCTACGAGAGATCATTTCAAGTAATGAAGTCGATGATAAGAAGAAATTCGGCAGCTCTTTCACCAACCGGAAAGAGCTCTTTGTTTCGGGGGAAAACAGCAGCAACACCATTACGAGCACACTGTTACCAAATATGAATACTACAGAAAAAAGGTGAGTACGGTGCTGGCCCAATTCGGCACTAGCACCCCGAAGAGAAAATACAGCGTACAACAATACAGTACGCATAGCAGATTTAGGCGCACGATGCGCAAATAAGGAGTTGATTAGATTATTCTCGCGATTCGCGACAGTAGCCCTTCAAGTTGGGAGGAAATACAAGTGCGAATGAAATACACGCATATCACAGCACGAAGGGCATACCAAGTTCGTGATGGAGCTGAAGTCGTACGATAAACAATCAGGTAAGGGCTACGTCTTTACAAGGAATGTAGGCTCTCTACAATACCGCCATTGAACACCAACACCTCGCCATCGGCGGTACGCCAGCAGCAGCAATTCCCATTCCACGATATCGCAGTTTCGGTTTGCTCATCTCAGCGCTGCTCGCGTCAGATTCACTCTCGCTCAGATGAGTACTCAGGCGCGAGCTTACGCATGTCGTGATTCTCCCGGCCAGGCGAATCAGCTGATCGCACCTGACGCGTCCTTGTGACAGTCGCTGTCGCCGTGTCGGCAGCAAGAAGGCTTCCTCTCTGTTTGGAGAATTTTGTTTCTTCATTCGTGGACGATATATTTTTGAACTAGCAGGACTCAACGGAGCTCCTTTTCTCAACACACTACACTGCAAAACCTCCCGGGAGATCCAGCCTGGACTGGTGATGTTACTGCTCTCAGAACGCTTGTCAAACACGGCCCAAAGAGATGCACTCGCATTCTCGAAATGCGCGCATGGCGGATGGTCGTCTTTTCCAATTTCAACAAACTTCAGTCGATCGATACGGCAAAAATTTGTATGGAAAGCATGGTTGTTTTGTACATCGTCGGAAAGCCTTGGACCCCAGCTACGCGTAGAGCGCCATTTTAGCTGTCTCCTAGCAACAAGACCCCAAAAAATGAGGGCCAAACGTACCGATACTATAGTATCGATTCGCTTATCGTAGACCGGTAAAGGGTTAATGTCCTTGCCTGAAGTCCTGGTCGTGACGGGAATTTTTCTACGGATTTTTGTTTCCTTTTTCCATTCCCTCAAACTAAAGAAATGAATCCTGATTTTCCAGTGTGCTCCAAAAAAATCGGCCACAAAAGTGGAGTGGCCTCAGCCGCCCCAGCCCCAGCGGCTGTGACGACCTTGTTTGGGCCTAGTGCATTGTGGGCAATGTCCAACCAGCCTGTAGAGTTTGAATTGAAGTGTGCATTTCAAAGACTGAAGGAGATGTTGCACTGTCTCTGCTAGCATTTCATCTACATGTAGTTGTAACTTATTGTTATCACATCGCTGGGCCATAGAAAATGTCCTTGCCTGGAGTCCTTGTCGTGACGGGGTGTTGTTCGTCGGACTTTTGTTTCCTTTTTCCATTCTCTCAAACTAAAGAAATGAATCCTGATTTTCCATGGATGTTGTTTGTTACTCCCAGCAGCCACGACACCACCACCAGTCAGCAGCAAACCACCACCAGTATCTACTACAACAGCAGTAGGATATCAGATTGGTGGAGGATGTCCTGATGTGAGCACAGGTTTTGGAATATGTCCAACGAATTGTGATGTAGATGCAAACTGTACTACAGCAGGAGAGTTATGTTGTAAAAATCAATGTGGAAGTTTGCAATGTACTGCAGTATGTACACTACAACAATGTCCTGTCAAGTGTGCCATGTACACTTTGGATAGCAGAGGTTGTCAAACATGTACTTGCATTGGTAAGTCTCAAACATCCTGCAAACTGTGCAGGCTCTGAATTTCTCTTCTTTGTCTCAGACCACTGTTTCATCCGCTGTCATAACCTCTTTCCTGCATGACATAGCTATTCTACAGTGCCCATTTTCTCCAAATGATTTTCATAGTTTACGTCCTGACACCCTCCCTACCGTTACATTGATATGTCAGCAGATGGGTTACTGAAATGTAGTAGAAACATTGTGGTAGAACATGAAAATTTGATGTTCAGTTCATCTCTTGACCTTTTCCAAAGTGCGAGGTGGTAAATATTCCTTTGGCAGATCCGCCGCACCGACTTTGGAGGTGGCCGGCCATGTAATGGGGCGCTGGTGGCCCTCCCGCGGGAAAAATTTCAAAAATTGAAGCCAATTGCAAGCATTTCCAGGCATTTGATTTCTTTCCAGTGAATCTGCAATGAAAGACTTTTTTTGATTCTGCTAGAAACTAAGTAGACACTTTGATTGGGGACAAGGATTCTTCATTATTCGGCACGTTTGCGCTGATCTGTGATCATCTCGTTTTGTTAAAGTGTGGTCCAAAATAATCGGCCACAAAAGTGGGTTGGCCTCAGCCGCCCCAGCCTCCCCGGCTGTGACGACCTTATTTGGACTTAGTGCAGTGAGAGCAATGTCCAACCAGCCTGTAGAGTTTCAATTGAAGTGTGCATTTCAAAGACTGAAAGAGATGTTGCACTGTCTCTGCTAGGATTTCATCTACATGTAGTTGTAGCTTATTTTTATCACATCGCTGGGCCATAGCAAATGTCCTTGCCTGGAGTCCTGGTCGTGACGGGAATTGTTCTTCGGACTTTTGTTTCCTTTTTCCATTCCCTCAAACTAAGGAAATGAATCCTGATTTTCCATATGATGTTGTTTGTTCCTTGCAGCAGCCACGACACCACCACCAGTATCTACTACAACAGCAGTAGGATATCAGATTGGTGGAGGATGTCCTGATGTGAGCACAGGTTTTGGAATATGTCCAACGAATTGTGATGTAGATGCAAACTGTACTACAGCAGGAGAGTTATGTTGTAAAAATCAATGTGGAAGTTTGCAATGTACTGCAGTCTGTACACTACAACAATGTCCTGTCAAGTGTGCCATGTACACTTTGGATAGCAGAGGTTGTCAAACATGTACTTGCATTGGTAAGTCTCATAGTTACTCGGTAGAATGCTATGTTATTTGGTCTTTGTTGTTATATTTTCTCGAGGCACATTCAGTCTCATTGAGCCATATGTTTGTGACGTTCTAGATGCTGGCTCCAAGACCGTTTGCAACTATTTTCTGGTGAAAAGTGGCTTTATTCTTGCAGGATACCTGAGCAGATGCGTGTGTGTGTATATGTTAGCTTGTGTACCTGTGCCTGTGTGTATGTGTGTGTATGTGTGTGGGGGTGGGGGGGGGGGGGGGGTGGGGGGCGTGCATGCATGTGTATTGTTCTATGAGAAGGTAGTGAAAGTATCCTTTGCAAGGCAATTTCTTTGGAAATCTAAGCATTGTTGTGCGGATTGTAGTTATCCCGATACCACTAAGGAGAAACAAACAGTCAGGAGATTACTGTTAGTGTTGCTCTTGTTACACTTGTCAATTTTCTTTGGTTTATGACGAAGGTTTATGCGGCTTGACCCCAGGGGGTGGTGCCGGCATTCCCACGGGGATGCGGATAACTCGACCTCCAGCCGATTCCGATTCTCACTCGAGCCGTGAATTTTTTTAACATTAGGCCATGTAAAATATATTGATTGTTTATCGTCAGATTTTCCCGAGAAATCGGGGTGGACGGGAGGTTTTTAATTTTATTTTTATTATGCATTTATGGCTGTAGGGCAGGTGTTCGCAACCCCAGAGGATAATGGAAAGTGGAACAACCAACGTTACATAGAAAAAACGAAGAAAATCAGGCAGCTTATGATCAGTTTCACTTTTCAAGCCCATAGCAACTAAGTTATGGTTCAGTCTGTGGACTTGACCTTCGAAAATCTACGGCCATGCCGATTGGAGGCTGTAGACCACAGTACATACAGTACATTTACCAGTAATAAAAAATATAATAATTCGGCGGGGAGGGTGAAAATTTGGGGCAGGCGCGGACGATAAACAATCAATTTTTTTACTTGGCCTTATGTTTTATGACGAAGACAAATGAATAGAGTGATTTAGCACAAATTTCTGTCGCACATTTTCGCCTTTCAATTCCATGTCTGTGTTCTTTTGCCTTCGTCTTACTGATTGTCCTCATATTCTTGTTGCTGTAGCAACACCACCAACCACTAAAGCAACAACTGTACCACGAACTACCCAACTGGTGGCTCAAACAACTGCGATTCCAACATCAAATGTCACTATTGGTGGAGGCTGTCCCAAACAATCTGGTGGTTTTGGAATTTGTCCTTCTAATTGTGGTCCTAGTAAACCTTGTACAACAACTGGTGACCAATGTTGTGCAAATACATGTGGTGGTACAGTTTGTACAAAGCCATGTGCAGTGTTGACTTGCTCCAGTTCATGTACGGCATACACTAATGATGTACTGGGATGTCCAACATGTACTTGTGTTGCCGGTGAGTTTGAAGAACACACAGCAGTTGAGGAATGCTAGCCTCAATTCGTTTCCCAACAGTTCCAGTTGATGAAATGGGATGGTTTTGATTTTGTGCTCCTCTGGAGAATCCTTTGAAGTATAGTAGAACGTCGATTATCCGGGCGCGTCAACTATCCGGATGATCGATTACCCAGATTGCCTGGTCGGACTGTGCAATTTAAAAATTAGCCGCTTTTTCGAGGTTTTTGCTGATATTCCGCACTCGGAGCATTATTCCAGCTATGCACAAGATGTATTACAACAGGTTTGAGCTAAAGGTATAACGATAGTGCCATTTTTAGCGGCTGGAATGCACCTAGCTCCTGTTGTACTGCCGCTAGAATGAAAAAAAATGATGAAAACATGCGGGAATAGGCATGTTTTAGATGGACGTGTGACTGCTCCCTTATCCGAACATTCCTCTCATCTGAACCTCCTGTAGACTCTGGCGGCCTGCGCCCCAAAGGGTGCAGATAATCGGCACTCTACCGTACGTCGAACGGTCTTGATCCAAGGATGCTGCAAAGAGAGCAGCCATGAGACTTTCACTTAGATATCCATCGATTTTGGACACTCCAAACGATGTTCTAGCAATCTAGGTTTAGCTACACGAAATCAAAACTGATTCCTCAAGGTAATATTCCACACCTTTCTGTCTGTGCATTACCTCTTTCCTTCCTGGCCTATGTCATTGGGCTTTCTGAGTTTCCAGAGAATGTGTTCAGTTGGTAAACATTTGAATGGCCAGCTATAAATGAATGTATTCCTATTTCACTTCAAGTCAACAGATTTTCTGGATACATGACATGTCGGGTATACCGAGTCTCATGAAAGTATGAAAAACATTACACTCAACAGGCATGTCTGTCAGAGTACAAAACAACCTCCTCTCACATTCTCCTTTATCGTGTTACTCAAACTGAATTGATTTGTACAATTAAAACAAACAATTAAATAGTTATGAAGTTATGAAGTTCTAAGTTCAATTTAAATAGTTTGCAGGCAATCTGCCTACACTCAAGATAGCACTGCCTTTCGCACAAATCCATTAGAAGTATCGTAAGTGCAAGAAGTGCAATGAACCTGTATGAAGCGTCCTTCAAGATTTTAATACAACTATTGTTTTTGAATTGAATTGTCCGTGAGTTTAACTTTTTTTGTGTTCCTCTTTGTTGTGTCATAGTTGCAACCACTCCAGCATCCACCAAACCTGCCACAACTGCAGCTGTTACAAAGCCAGCCAGTACACCTGCACCACAAACTACCCAACTTGTGGCTCAAACAACTGCAATTCCAACATCAAATGTCACAATTGGTGGAGGCTGTCCCAAGCAATCTGGTGGTTTTGGAATTTGTCCTTCTGATTGTGGTCCTAGTAAACCTTGTACAACAACTGGTGACCAATGTTGTGCAAATACATGTGGTGGTACAGTTTGTACAAAGCCATGTGCAGTGTTGACATGCTCCAGTTCATGTACGGCATACACTAATGATGTACTGGGATGTCCAACATGTACTTGTGTTGCCGGTGAGTTTGAAGAACACACAGCAGTTGAGGAGTGCTGGCATGAACACATTTCACTTTGCAAATTTGCGAAAGTAGAACATAGTGGATTTGTGAACACGTCGACTGGTCTTGATGAAAGAAGCCTATGAAAAGACCATTTTGTGAGATCTTTTTCAAGATGGGTATCTGCTCATTTTTGGGGTTTCCTATGAAATCACATGCTGGGATGAGAAAGAGCATTTGGAGACTAGTTTAAAAATATGAGTATTATTTCCCCGGAATGCTATAGACAGCATGCTGTTTTGGTCATAAAGGCCTCATCAGTACAGCTACGAGCCTTAGAAGTAAGCCGAGCTGCCAGCCATGGCGCAAAGGTGGCACCACAGACATTTAGTTAAGACAACTCGTTGCTCTAGCGCCAGAGTGCTCAAATTACAAAAGGTAGCGAGCGAAGCACATGCAACAGCACAAAACAGCGAACCGACGAGATTGTTCAAGAAGACGAAAGTCGGGGAGTGGGATACCCAATCACTCATGAGTATAATTTATGATTATTCCCGTAGCTGTGCAGAAGGTGTTACTTCATTAGCCCCATCCCTCACACAAACAAGTCAACAAAGAGGCATCTTTGGATTGAGGAGTGCTGGTTTCGAAACAACTGGTTTGAAGCTCAAAGTAGAGCTGTTGTTAGCTCAGAGCAGAGCTGCAGTTAGCTCATAGCAGAGCTGCTGTAAGCTCAAAGTAGAGCTGCGGTTAGCTCAAAGTAGAGCTGCTGTTAGCCCAGAGTAGAGCTGCGGTTAGCTCAAAGTAGAACTGCGGTTAGCTCAAAGTAGAGCTGCTGTTAGCTCAAAGTAGAACTGCGATTAGCTCAAAGGTAGAGCTGCTGTTAGCTCAAAGTAGAGCTGCTGTTAGCTCAAGATAGAGCTGCTGTTAGATCAAAGTAGAGCTGCTGTTAGCTCAAAGTAGAGCTGCTTTTAGCTCAAAGTAGAGCTGTGGTTAGCTCAAAGTAGAGCTGCTGTTAGCTCAAAGTAGAGCTGCTGTTAGCTCAACGTAGAACTGCAATGCTAAATGGATGTAATATAGCGCAAGGCAGAGCCGCAGCAAGTAGCTAGATAACACCAGTTGTGAGAGTGGACCCATGAAACCAGCACTCCGTTAGCTAAGCACTATTGACGCACAGCAAGGGTCAATTAATGTCAGCACAGGCAAGCATTGCGCAGCTAGAGTTCAGTAGCTCATTACTCACCCGAGTTGGGGATCATGGCACCCATGACACGGCAGCAAGCCGGGACGATAGCTGGCGCTTACCGCTTGTTGTAGTCCGGATGTAGCATAGACACGCATCGCTCTTTCCACTGACCTGCCACTCGGAAGGAGTCGGGGGCACTGGCCATAGCAGTGGTGGTGGCTGCACCAACGTGGACTGAATGCCTGGAGTAGTTCTACTGGGATGGTACACCGGCCGCACAGACAAGAGACCGTACTGTTACTGTGAATGACTGCCTGGTCAGCTGCTGTCTGTTCGAGAGTACGAACGAGAGTTGCTCCGGTCCCTCGCGACGAGTGACAAATGGGTAGCTAACCATGGCACGGACCGGGCAGTACGGCGGTACAGACGGGCCAATGTCACTAGTAATGCCTTTACCGAATGGGTCCGTCTTGGATGAAAGCAGGAAGAGTTGCAGGCGTCCGTCACCAGGGGAGCTAGTACAGCCCCGTGTGACGCCATTAGTGAATTCGGCACACAGAAGAAATCCAAAGAAGCAGCATGGCGGCTTGGCAGAGCAGCTTGTCATGGCCATTCAGGATACTACTTTTCCGGCGTGTATCCGTCAGGTGTCGTAGGATTGGCATAGTTATAGGAAGGCGAGGGGTGAGTACAGCCGTACCATGGCATCGCTGGATTCCCTTCAACACCCTCTTCAGAAGCCACACATCTACTAAGGGGCCGGCAAACCCATTCTCAAGATGGGCTTTACGCACCACACTCACATACACAGATACAGTTCAGGGCACACTGATCATACTTGTAGTAGTTCACGCATGAATGTGCGTCCAGGAACGATGACTCGGGCAGCAAAAGCGAGCTTCCCCAGGAGGGACTCGAGTTGACGCTGGCCAATGCTGCGCTCGCTGATAGTAGCCATGAGTGGCGCATGGATCTCGGACAGCTTGTCCTCTGGTGGCCGAGCTTCGTGGCGCTCGCAGTCTAGGACAATACCAAGGAAGGTCAATGGTGGTGATGGCCCTTCGAGCTGGGATGGAGCAAAGAGGAATGCCGAGATACATGAATGGCCGGAGGGGGATGGTGAGTTGCTGGTTGGCTGCAGCCAAACCAGTGGAGATATCGAGAAAGTCATCGAGGTAATGAAGCCGGTGATCTATAGCAAATTCGTGCTGCATGATCCAGTTGACCGAGGCCGAAAGGCACAAAGCGTTCGTAGTAGTAGGAGCTTTCCCAGCGAAGTCCTGACGCCGGACTGGGATCTGCCGAAATGCACTGCGTACATCGAGCTTGGACAAATACACAGGCTGTGGGCATGACATGATGATGTTGATCGCGTTGTCAATGCTCGCGTAGTGCAGAGAGAGCGGCTCGGCAGGAATGCTGTCGTTCGCGCCGGTGTCTTCCGGACTAGACAGATGGTGGATCATTCGCAGCTTGCCGTTCTTTTTGGGGGTGGCACCAATACCAGAGCGGCGCATGAACTGAAATGGAGGTGACGAAAATGGGCCTGTGGTCTCGCTGCGGGCGCAGGAAGCAGCTAATTGCTCGGCTATAAATGCCGAGTGAGTGAAAGCCGAGGGTAGATTATTAGAGAAAACCGATATGTCGTGTTGGCCGGCAGATCCAAGAGTAAAGCCACGGCGCAGGCCATGGAGAACATACGCAATACATGATTAATCTGAGTGGCTACGTAACAGGCGGGCAAAGTGGTCAGCTAGCAGTGTGGTGTCTGCAGAGTGTATAGGAAAGAATCTACGTACCGAGTCAAGCGATTCAGTAGCCATTCTGCTAGGAGCGGCGGGGTGGGGGATTGGCTCCGCGCTGCTGCTGGTTGCACATGATGCATGGGTGGTCCTTGCCACACTGGCTGCAGGTGTGGGAGAAGCGGCACGACGACGAAGAACAGCGACCTCCATTGAAGTTGCGGCAGATTTCTTGGCCGTCGCTGGTATGGTTGCGACCACTGGAGGTAAATGCGCATTTTGGGTGTGCATGGCCTGTGAAAGCTATCTGCCATAGGTTCACGTCGATGGTGTCCAACCTCTTCGTGCCTGGTTACTGGGCCACGAGCATCCGCAGCTGGCGGTCGTACTCTAGCCACGCGCTTGGGAAGAACTGGCGGTTAGCAGTCAGGATCAACTGCTGGTACGCAATCAGGTCAGCAGTTCAGCAGTGCGGTGCAGGGCAGCAGCCGTGATAACAAACATGTATGTGGTCTATGCCTCGAGCCGGGTACCTACATGACTGTATAATTATCGTGAACCTTGCGACGCACCTGCTTCGCGTCATCCGACTCAACGATATTCAGCTGGCTATCGTTATTCGGGCTGTGCACCAGTCGCGGAATGTTGGGCCGGAAGTGTGCAAGAATTTCAGGCAACAAACTTGAAAAATCTACGAACTCCCCTCGCAAGATACTTTCTTGCACAGCCTTGGGCACAGCTGGTGCAGGTGGCTGATCGGGTGGGTTACATGAGCTTGGCCTGGCGTAGTGGCGGTAGCAGTCGCATTGCCTTGGCCTTGGGTGAGGAGCGGCACAATGCTCTCCGATAATAATATAATGGCGGCCGACAAAGCCGACTACACCTCGTCCCGTACGAGAGCGCAGATTGTTGCTTACAAGTACTAGCACAGCTAGTACACCAGTAACGTCTGGCGCTAGCCAGGGTCCACACAGCTTTAATTCCCGTAGCTATGCAGAAGACGTTACTTCAGTAACGTCTGGCGCTAGCCAGGGTCCACACAGCTTTAATTTGGCGTTTGTTTGTTTGTTTGTTTGTTTGTTTGTTTGTGTCACACTTGGCGCTATCCCGTATCTGTCCCGTACCGTACCGTACCAGCACAGAAAGCTGGCCACAATATTATTTGTTTGTTTGTGCCATCAGCATGCCCGGCGCTATCCCATACCTGTCCCGTACCATCAAGAGTACGGTACCATCAAGAGAATGAGTATATATACGAAGTGTATGGGGGAATGCATTCAGGCCGATAGTGCAGTAGCATCTTGTGTGGATTTGTGTGCGAGGCCGAGATCCCACTGGCAGGCTGGCTGGGCCGCCTGTCGACCAGCCCGGGATTCGCATGTAGGCCGATAGCATAATAATTGTAACGTATATAGATGTATAGCAGGGATTCGTATTATGTAAACGACTCCCTGCTGTATAGGGAGATTTTCTGGAAAGAAACACGAAGTAGGGAGACGAGGAAATGCTATTAGAATGGACTTTAGTTGCCGAAGAAAAGACAGGATGCGTCAGCAAAAACATACTTTGTAAGAGAGATCCCGTCATCTCCAAAATAATCCTGAACGGGCGAGTCAGCGCCGGTCACAGGAAACGTCGGAAGAGAGATCCCGTCGACTCCAGAACGTCCGTGATCGGCATAGTCAGCGCCGGTCACTAGGGGTGTGCGGATAATGCTCGAAAAGGTGGCAGATTCTGCTCGAAAAGCAGTGAAATTGGCAGAACCATACAAACCTTATGGCGGGCAATTCCTCGAATTCTGCTCCATTTCTTTATCCACATACCAAACATGCATGAAACTTACACGAAAAAGTACCGAATTCTGCCAATTTTTCTGCCGGAATTATCCGCATATGCCTACCGGTCACAGGAAACGTCAGGACAGATAATAACTTCGACTCCAGAACGCTAGCCAGGGCCATCACAGCTTTGACACGTTACATGCATGATAAGCAAGCAAAAAAGCATAGCGTAGGGCCCTGAGCTTCCAAGCTCTCTCGTTTGGTATGTGTTTGTTTGTTTGTTTGTGTCACGCCTGGCGCTATCCCATATCTGTCCCATACCGTACCATCAAACATAGCTGTCCACATACAGCTGGCCGCAATATTCAAATAGGGCTTTCAAGTGCAAGATCATAACGTGAAGCAACTTGGAAGAATGAGTATGAATGCGAAGTGTATCGGGGGAATGCATGTAGGGCGATAGTGTGGGTTCGAATCCCAGGTTGTGCCTGAAAAAAGGAGAATTGAAAAATTTATAACATCCCTATGCTTTTTTTGCCTAGGTCATTAAGGCGGTAGATGGTGTCGTATTACCCTCGACCGTACCTGTCCCGTACCGTACCGTACCATCAAAGACGGCTGGCCACAATGCATAATTCAAATAGGGCTTTCAAATGCAAGATCATAACGTGAAGCAACTTGGAAGAATTAGTATGTATGCGAAGTGTATCGGGGGATGCATGCAGGGCGATAGTGCGGGTTCGAATCCCAGGTTATGTCTTTAAAAAAAAAGGAGGAATTTATAAGAATTTATAACATCCCTATGCTTTTTTTGTCTAGGTCATCAAGGCAAAAAAAGCATTGCGTAGGGCCCTGAGCTTCCAAGCTCTCTCGTTTCAGACATTTTGGTCCTGTTAGCGAAGAGTGCAATGGTTTGATCCCAAGCCACTTTAGTATAGCATTGTCTGATCAAACACATTCCTGCATTAGGTTATACTTTTATGAATTGGGCATTTCCCATTTGCTAATCTGTAAGTGATTTCAGACAATGTAGTGAACTGTCTTTTCAATGAGCCAGCTAAATATGTATCGTGCCCATAGCCAACATCCAGTTGGTTCATTGCTATTGTACGCATTTCCCTACATCTCTACCATGTGGAAAAGGCGTATTCGGCGGTAATTGGTTCTGACTTTTCCGTCTTCTTCTCTTTGTTGTGTCATAGTTGCAACCACTCAAGCATCCACCAAACCAGCCACAACTGCAGCTGTTACAAAGCCAGCCAGTACACCTGCACCACGAACTACCCAACTTGTGGCTCAAACAACTGCAATTCCAACATCAAATGTTACTATTGGTGGAGGCTGTCCCAAACAATCTGGTGGTTTTGGAATTTGTCCTTCTAATTGTGGTCCTAGTAAACCTTGTACAACAACTGGTGACCAATGTTGTGCAAATACATGTGGTGGTACAGTTTGTACAAAGCCATGTGCAGTGTTGACTTGCTCCAGTTCATGTACGGCATACACTAATGATGTACTGGGATGTCCAACATGTACTTGTACCGGTGAGTTTACGATTTAGTTTTGGTTTCCTCTCGTAGCAGTATGCATGATTAAGTAAAGCAAAGAAGTGTCTAGAGACCGTTTTGGGCTGTGTATAATTGTGTGGGAGATGAAGTAGCTACAGTGGAGTCTGCCCCTGAGGAAGAAAGGTGTGTAGAAACTTGTGCTATAGGAGAACGTCTGTGTTCCCTATTTAGTCAGCAGTGGGATAGATGGCTGGGTCTGGGTCGACCTTGTCATTGCTCATCAGCAGAGGTCAGATTGACTGGCCGTACTGCCCTACACGAAGCCTAGTAACCACGGCAACATTTCACATTGACTCTGTCTCAAAGCATGAAAGTCAAATTTCTCTGACTCTGGGAGGAGACGGTGAGCTTTGCAAAATGGCAGGTTACTTTGACACTAGTTATGCGGAAAAAGATCAGACCGTGGCTAGACTAGACTAGACTAGAGCAGGCTAGACCCTGAGACCAGACTAGACCAGGTTTATATAATACATTATTATTTAAAATCTTGTAGGACGCATCACGCAGCTTCAAAAGTAAAAAATTAGTTGTGAGCAACACTGGCTCGCGCTCAAATCACTGCTTTTCACCAGAAAAATATTATATTTCAACGTTTCGGTCATGAAATAACCATCATCAGGAATGAAGTGGGCACACCGGTTAGGATGGGTTAATAAATGAGGAGCGCTGCGAACTGATAACAAATCACACCTGCATGCACTATGACGAGAGAGAGAACAAAATATATAGTTGCTTGTGTTATTGAACTCGGATAATGAGCCGATATTATCCACGGCTGTAACAAGATTGTGTTATTGCTTGTGTTAATATTGCCATAATAACATCCTGGTCTTGTCTTTCATTTGTCTCATTTGTGCTTGAAATTGTGAGCGCAACTATACATGGCTAAAAGGATTGGGCAAGACTTTGATGACATACTCACGGAATCCAATGGTTTGGGCAGTGATAGTTGTCATTATCAATGTGCATCTTTGCTTTTGTGTGTGTGTGTGTGTGTGTGTGTGTGTGTGTGTGTGTGTGTGTGCGCGCGCGCGCGCGTGTGCGCGTGTGCGTGTATGCGTGTGCGTGTGTGTGTGTGTGTGTGTGCATGTCTGTGTGTATGTGTGTATTTTCTCCACTTCCAGTATTGACAACTGCACCACCTACCAAACCAGCGACAACTGGACGAACTTCTACCAAACCAGCTACAACGGGACGAACTTCCACCAAGCCATCGCCCCAAACCACTGTTTCACCCACGACGACGCAACCTTCAGCCACAACACCGGCCAGCCAGATTGGTGGTGGATGCCCTGTCGTGCAGGCTGGTTTCGGCATCTGCCCCACAGACTGCAGCCGGGATAGTGACTGCACTACGGCTGGACAGCTGTGCTGCAAGAATCAATGCAGAGGTTTGGTGTGTGCTGCGGCGTGTGCCAGACTGACCTGTGCACTGGCCTGTGCTACCTTTGCTACTGATACCAGGGGATGTCCTGTGTGTGCATGTTCAAGTAAGTCATGCTGCATGTGTCACACTTGCTGTTGACTTGCCTGGAATCATGATCAGAAAGGAACTAGTCACACACCTACACGTACTTTTAGCTATTAGGTATGTCATTGCGATCCAGGAGAGAAGGGTTACATCAACGGTAACCTTTTCTTTTTTTATTATTCAAGTTCACAGAGACATGGAATGTCGCATGTGAACTCAGCTTTTGTAAAGGAAAGGCGCTTGATATTAATCTATTCATCATCGTTATCGCCGAAGTCGAACCAACCTCTTCTTCACATCTGACTCTGTTTGCCTTTTTCTCGGTGTGTCACCAGCTGCGGCTACAAAGCCCTCTACAACACAGGCTACAACTAACCGCCCTACAACCGCGCCTAGAACCACTGGACCAAGAGCAACAACGGGAACAAGCACCACGAATGCAATGACCTCCGCAGCTGGCCAAAGCAGCGGAGCAAGAACAACGGGAGCATCGATGACAACTGCGTCTGGGACGATTGGCACCAGGATGCCATCAAGCCCGTCAAGCTCAGGTCCTCAGGAAATGACACCCAGCATGTCTCGCCGCACTACAAGAAGTAAGTTGGCAGATGAAGCACAAATTCAACTAGTTATGCAGAAAACAAGCTCAGATGGCGTATCCTTAAGTGCACTGCAATGATGTTGTTCTAACTATGGAAAAGAACAACTTACCAGGCGCTGAAGTTCTATCTGTGTCACTTCTAAAGCATGCTCTTTGGCAGCACATGCGAGTAATATCTGCTCGGTGACACATCGTCGCAAAGTGAATAATATTTATACAGCTGTGTTTTAATGAATGGAATGTGTAAGATAACTTATTGCTTAGCAACTGGTGGTTTTTGTGGACATTCATAATAGCGTAACTTGCAGTTCCTTGGCCCTTTTTCTTCTATAACTTATTGTGTATGTGTGCTTTGTTCACTTCCTCACATCACAGTACCCGTTGGAACGAGCGCTTCAATGGCACCACAGACACCGTCTCCAACAACAATAGTTACTGAAGCAACTAGGCCGCCAACCACAATCCCTGAAATGTGAGTTATCCCGCGTTCATGGTCAGCAGGTTGCGTCTAGCATCGCTGCGACAGCCCATGGTCAGACAAGCACACAGACTTGATTTTGAAGGAAAATCACGAAATTCTTGAGCTCTTCTATTTCTGGAAACTCATTGTGTTTGTATAATTCCATTCTTCAAGTGAAAATTTGGAGTCAAAAAATCAACGGTATGGGAAGTAAAATTATGGCTAGGTCTCTTGAAATCTAGATGGATTCTACATTGCGCAGAGTATGGATTAAAAAATAATTATGCCGGTATATACCGTTACGTCTGCTACAAACGCCCACCCCATTTTGCAAGATCTGCTGGCCTGTACGCACTGACCCCATGCACTGTCACCCCTACTGAACGAAAGTGCATCTCACACCGTAGCGCGAAGAGCGCCTTGCTACGGTAAACTATGTCTACTGTCCTGGATTCAAAATTTCTTTGGGCACTAGCTACGAGCTAGCTCGCAATGATTTTATGATGTTGGTTGTTTTTTTTCGCAAATCCAAACGGGAGTTCCTTCTGAACAACAAAGTAGCGAAGAACAGAGTCCTGCAGGAACCAAATACACTTCTGACGGTGTTTCAAACCATCATTTCCGAATAGCACAAAGGCAAAGGGTTTTCTCGAGCACTTCCGAGTTTTCAACAAGTTAGCAGCGACTTTGTAGGTGTAGCTTCTGTGACATCTCCTCTGTTCGACTTGCAACTGCTGGGACCGGTCAAGTCGTTGAATGACACTTCGTCAGAACAATCATCGTCCCGTTCTGAAAGCGCGACATTGTGGCACTGCAGAAATTTCATAATTTGAAAACCAGATGGATTCTACAGCATTACCACATGGAGAACGAAATAATAACAAAGACGACTCATTTATCGAATGAAAGGAAATCTCAACAGAAGTTTTTCTTTGCAGCAAGATAATGGCAATCGCTTTTGCAGAGCCTCCTGGTAAGACATAGGCAGTTTGTAGTCATTACAGTCGTTCTCGTACGCATTCGACCTTCATGCCAATTTTCTACAACTATATTGACCTGAAAAAGACGAAAATAGTATGGACCCGCTGGGGTAGACGTTTGCTGCGAAGCGGGCGTTTGCAGCGGACTTAACGGTATATCGTGGCCGTTTCCGAAGGTAACTCATGATGGACGCTAGCACCCGATAAACCTAGCGGCAGATGCAGCAGGGATCTATCGAGTATGGGTAAATAACAGGGTATAGATTGGCATGTAAAACCCAATCCTGGTGGCTGGTTTAACCCATTCTGTGCCGAGGATGAGTATACGTTTCCTGTTGCAGCTACAGCAATTGGCTGTAGACGAGTATACTCATCCTGCAGAGTATATGTACTTCTCGAAACAGAACACAGAATATGATGCCACGTTGTGTGTAGATGGAAGTCAAGGCACCGGGTGGATTTCCCTGGCGTAGTCTTGGTTGCTTTGACTTTCATGTACGTGTTCACTTACACATGAACTCCCTTCACACCCATCAGATCAGATCAGATCAGATCAGATCAGATCAGATCAGATCAGATCAGATCAGATCAGATCTGGCCATTAAAACAAGGAACATGAGGTACATGAAGAATGTTTGTGCATACGTTGGGGGTGGGGGTGGGGGTGGGGGTGGGGGTGGGGGGCCATGGCGCTATGCCGGGTTGTCTTCCCTATGAATACAGACCCTTTTCCTCTTGAATCCTGGCTACTCAAGCCCACACCACAATACATTCCATGCAGCTGTGTGTTTTTTCTGTCTAGTTTGAGTACTAGACTATACCATAGATTAGTGGTAGAGCATTGCTGGCCGTAAGCAAGGGTCTTGTCCCCGGTTCAATCCGGTGGTGACAGCCCGCAAGGCCCTTGTCCCCAGTTCAATCCCGGTGGTGACAGCCCGTGCAGTCCAGACTTTTCCCGTTTTCAACTATCTCAAACGTTTGAGTAATACTATGAGTAGCATCAGGCTATCAGGTGCGGCGTCATTTCCTCTGTGCTGCGATGATGAGTCCACACAGGGCGAAACAGTTCTGTCCGCAGATTGAGTACTATGAGTAACATAAAATTTAATGTTTGTTCTGACTCTTTGGTCTCACTCTGCAGAGCTATCGGACACGATGTGGAGGTCACTCTTGTCCTGTCAATAGGCTCAGCTGCCGCTCTAGATGGTGTTAGCACTCACGAAGATGAATTTGTCAAGTGAGTAACGTGTACTGAAGTACCGCAACCGCCCAGCCTTTTCATGCATCCAAGCCTTGATGTTGTGCCTCGTGCTAGCTGTCGGTCTGTTTTTCTTGACCCTTGTCGTGTTGTCTATTGTTGGCTGTCCCCTTCCCGTATCCATTCAGCATATGCGAATCTGCGGGCATTTATCATGTAGAAATTGCTGACATTGCACCGGAAATGCGATTAATAATAATAATAATTAGCGTTGTGAAGAAAAGGCATTTTGTAGTACACAAAGCATACACACCATGTCCACTTGTCAGGCTTTTCTGCTCCAGTCCATTTCAGTGCGAAGAGCTGGAATGCGAAATCCGCTAAATCAGTTTCATCGCTTTTTGGAAAATGGGTCAAAACGGATTCATTTTATGGGTGGTTTATATCTGATTCATATTCGAGAACCAGTTTTGAAATGCTTCTCGTCACATTTTGAATGTGATAATTTGCCTGCTGGCACCCCCAGACGTTTTGTTTACACTGAGCTGAAAACTGATTTTCTCATATTTTGTCCCTTGGCATTTTTTGCCCTCCAACTCTTCATATGATGAACAATCCTGCAGATCAGGTGTCTCGTATCGAGTGTATATTCTTCAAACGGACTGTAAATGTGTTTGATTCGTAATTGAAGAATACTGTCACCATGATTGTTGCCATGACAACTACTCCGCCCATATCCAGGTATCTGATATACTGCATCGTGTGACTTTAGGCCTGCCGTCATCTCTCTTTCTCTCTCTCTCTCTCCCTCTCTCCCTCTCTCTTTGGTGCCTGTTTTGTTCTTGTACATTCCATGTGCAGGTTTGTTATTGCACAACTGCAAACCAGCTACGGTCTCTCAAGTGAACAAATCGACGACGAAGGCAAGGTACTGAGGAAGGTTGTGTTGTGCTTGTTTGAAATGTGAAATGTGAAATGTGAAATGTGTGATGAAATGACTACAAACAATCCTCTATCTTCTACAGGGGCATGACAGGGCAGTGGGGAGTGGAATAACCCGAGGGTCCGGGATGTCCCACGGGGCAAACACATCGGATTTTTCATCCAACAGGGCAAGTTGTAGCACTCTTTTATTGCTTTTTTGGACGAATTGTGCGGACCATCCTGCTGGCCTGAACGGAAGGTGGGGAAGACCATGTTCGGACTGGTCGTACCCTGCTTCTAGTTTCCCGTAACTTTGTTATTGTCAACCAGACGATTACCCAACCCACTGCACTTGTCCATCACCATTTCATCTTGGGCACCCTGTAAGAAGACCTTTTAGGGTCTGTTGGGAATGCCCAAGTAAAATAATAAAATACAATACAATAAAAAGAAAACGGACCAAGGAACTACAAGTTACACTATAATGTCCACTAACACCACCAGTTACTAAACAATCAGCTCATGCTATAACATTGCACGACGCTGACCGACCGTACTGACGTTCTACAGGTAACTGGCAATCAGCTCTAGCACATCTTGGATGCGCACTCCAACAGCCTTCCAACTTGGAATGTTTTAAGTTATAGAAATAACATATTGTCCAATGGTCTTGCCAGTATCGTCATCGACATGCATGAACATCCGCCAACGTCCTTCACAGCTGAGACTTTCAGCTCGTGTTTATCTTGGTTGCGCTCACCTTCCCCTCCTTATGTTATTTCTATAACTTAGAACCTTCCAAGTTGGAAGGCTGTTGGAGTGTGCATCCTAGATGTGCTAGGGCTGTTAGCCAGTTAGTTGTAGCAGGGGCGTAGGAAGCAGTTTAATATTGGTGCGGCAAAATTGTGAGAGGGGGTCCGGGGGTCCTCCCCCAGGATGTTTTTGAAAATTGGCCCTAAAAGGCCATATTAATGCTACAGAATAATATGAGAAATAAGAATATGCATGCTGATGATACACCGCATTGTCGATGTAAAACATTGTACCTGTACAAGAGTCGACAAGCCATCAACAAGGTTGAAATGTAAAAAATAAATTTAAAAAAATCGAAAAGTATTGGTCCGGCGACCGCCGGGCCTGCCGGAGTGGTTCCTACGCCCATGTGTAGAACGTCAGCACCGTCGGTCAGTGTCGTGCAATGTTATCGCATGAGCTGATTGTTTAGTAACTGGTGGTGTTAGTGGACATTATAGCGTAACTTGTAGTTCCTTGGTCCTTTTTACTTTTTATCCTTGGCTCTCCATCCGAGTTCATTCTTACGATACAAATACAAATACAATACCATTGCGGCAAGTAAATTGGCTAGTGGTGGAGCAAGCCGAGGAGTTTCCCCAATCTCTGAGCCTGTTTTAGCTTTCTCTCAACATCCACTCTCTGTACACTGTTCTGTGTGTGTTGTTCATGTTGATAGTTCAAAGTCTCCAGCAATACTGCTGCAAGTCACACGGTGCAAGTCACTGTCACCATGAAGGCTACCAGCAACCAGGACACTGCACCGTTTGAAGTCGCAAGCCGTATACAGTCTGATGTAAGTCTAAGCAATCATTTCACTGCGTTAGTTTTCCCGAGCTGTTTCCGTGATTTGCTCCGTTGTCTTTACAACATTGGCAACTTGTACGCACCCAGTGCAGAACTAACATGACCCAGCATCACAAAACAAGTACACATACACGCGCACGCGCGCGCACACATACACACACACATACACACACATACATACACACACATACACACATACACACACATACACATACACACATACACACACACACACACACACACACACACACACACACACACACACATACACACACACACACCATTGACCATTGGACGCCCATCGCCAGAGGCGATGATAGCGATGCTACAGCAGAAGCCATAGCAACTTGTGCTGGGATTGCACCATTCAACAGCTTGCAAGGCTGAAGAATTGACCACCACTATTCAGCCTGGTCTACACCACACAGCTTTGAAGTGGCTTTTTTCTGGCCAGTGAACCCCTACTTTTTGGTCTTTTTTTCTTCTTTTTTCCCGCACACACATCACACCACATACTCCGGCATGCACTGGCTGTTGGTAACCACCCAGGAGAATGAAAGAAAAGTCAGGAAGAGTCTGAGAAAGAGAAGAAAGACGTGTGTGACCATAATCGTCGGGAATCTAACCCGCAACCTATCGATTGGAAATCGCTGCACATACCACTGCACCATATGGGACACACACACACACATACACACACACACACACACACACACCTTTGAACTTTGACGCCCATCGCCGGAGGCGATGATAGCAATGCTACGGCAGAAGCCATAGCAACTTGTGCTGGGATTGCACCATTCAACAGCTTGCAAGGCTGAAGAATTGACCGTCACTATTCAGCCTGGTCTACACCATACAGCTGCTTGAAGTGATTTTTCTGACCGGTGAATCCCTATTTTTGGTCTTTTCATTTTTTTCCCGCACACACATCACACCACATACTCCGGCATGCACTGGTTGTTGGTAACCACCCAGGAGAATGAAAGAAAAGTCAGGAAGAGTCTGAGAAAGAGAAGAAAGACGTGTGTGACCATAATCGTCGGGAATCGAACCCGCAACCTATCGATTGGAAATCGCTGCACATACCACTGCACCATACAGGACACACACACACACACATACACACACACACACACACACACACACACACACACACACACACGCACACATACAATCTCACAATCCTTGCCAACGTCCAGATGAATCATCTCAGTGACTACTTCAGCACATCTAGTTGCCTTGCCTTTACCACAGACAATATCCATATTCCTTGCTGTCCACAGTAAAATCTGTTCACGTGCTCAACTTCCGTAGCTACAAAGCTGAGCTTTGCACGCACCTACACATTCCAACTCACTGTTCTTTTGTCCAATGAGTGGCTGGACTTCAATGACAAGAACTTTACTTGCATGTGAAGCTTTCTGCCTATTTTTGAAAGTACAGTCAGACCTCGCTTATCCGGTCCTCGTTTATCCGGATCCCTCGCCATCCGGAAGAAAATAGTTGGTTACCAATTTACAGCATATGCCATGCATACATACAGTATGTGTGTTCGATTATCCGGTTCCCTCGCCTATCCGGATATTTTTGTGGACAACGGATGTGTGCGGTTATGCGAGGTCTGACTGTAGCACTTCCTCTGCTTCGAGATGTGTGTAATCACGTACAGTCAGACATCGCTTAACCGCACACATCCGTTTTCCACAACAAATATCCGGATAGGCGAGGAAACCGGATAATCGAACACACATACTGTATGTATGCATGACATATGCTGTAAATTGGTAATCAACAATTTTCTTCCGGATGGCGAGGGATCCGGATAAAAGAGGACCGGATAAGCGAGGTCTGACGGTATCGTAATAGTGATCTGTTTATCATTTTCTTTCTTTGCATCTAGGTTGAAAGTGGCCGGCTCACTCTAACAAACTTTGAGGTAGGATCCCAGTCCTATGCAGTCCGTCCAGCGCAAGCGTC